ACGACGGCATGCAATTTTCATCGCAAACGACTCGAGGAGCGCACGAGCCGAGAACCCGAGACGAGAGTGCGTTCTCGAGCGGAGAAGCCGCTTCTCGTGGAAACGTACATTTCGGAGCATCGATTTTCGGTGGCCGCCAGTGGGGCCTACCGCGTAATGCAATTTGGATGAGGTCTAACTTGCACGCTCGTGTACACCGCATGTTTTCTCCCCGCGGCCGCGAAAGAATGTTCGTGGAGAAATGTGCGCGCGAGCACAGTTGTGTCTCCTCCCTGCGTACGTGTGCGTCGTCTCGCGTCGGTTCTTCCTGCGGAAGTCGCGAGAACAATGCATCCTTATATAATGCATTCCGTCTCGCGCGTCCACAGACCGCCGATACTCCTGTCTCCTCGTATTTATATTTTCCCCCTTTCCAGCACCTCGCTCCCTCTTTCCCCCTGCCGCGGAATCACGCGAGAGAGGTATGCGTGCGGAATACGCGAACGACGTGGAAAACGCGGACGCGACGGGACACGGGAAACCCGATGATGGATACTAGAGGATCCTATGGAAGAGACGGGGAGGCTCGACACAGTTTCGACCTTCGATCGCGTCGTTCTTCGCTGACGACGCGCGGAGAAAGCGACACTAAATTCGCGCGCGGATATTCGCACGCGCACACGTGTTCCAACTTACCTCGAGTTGTGGGTAAGATAAAGTCGGTTTCTTTTTTTTTTAAAGAAGAAGTTCTTTCTTCTAATTTTCCCTTTTATCTTAGTTTGGTTACATAACGTCAAATCAACGTTTAATCAACGTCGATTATAAAGAAAATTGTAGCAAACAACTCAATTAAAATTATTTCGTTTTTACTAAGCTTTTCTTTTAGGGTCCCCGTTTTACTCTAAATTCCACTGCTCACGCACAGCGGGCGGACGGGTGACATCGATACCTCGTGGATCTATATTTCGGCCCAGATTTGGCACGGTTACTATGTAAATCATTGCGCCAGACGCGAACGTCAGAACCTCGTCGCAACGTTGGAATTCTTTTGTTCCTTCTCTATACGACGCCTGCTCTCTCCCTCCCTCCCTCCCTCTTTCTCTCTCTCTCTCTCGCCGAGAGATGCCGGGCTGATGATAGTGCCAGGTCAGAAACGTCGCCGTCGAACGAACACCTCGTTCTCCCTCGGCCCGAGAAAGGCGTTATTGACTATAATGAAGCTGGGAGACGAGAGGTGGAACAAAGGGAACGCGCACGGGGCAGCCTAAGTAAATAGCGGTCCGCACACGTCGCCGTCTTCGTGCAATTCGCGTGCTCCGCGACGGCGCGGAAGAGCAGGAGGGGAAGGAACGGCGGCAGCACTTGAACTTCCACGCAATTGTCTCCGATTTTAGACGGACGTTGACTTCGGCTAATTGAGGAAACGTCCTCTTTGATGTGGCGCGCGCGATAAAATGCACCACCCACTTACGCGCGGCATCCATTTCGACGATATTGGGCGAACGACTCCTCGCGACATGAACGGCTCGTGCGCGAGGACACACGTCGCGCGTTCCTCAGGACGACTCGAGGAGGAGCGTTTTCCGGTGATCTCATCGCAAATCACCTGCCGTGCGCCGGCCTCGTATGCGTGCGTTCTCGACTAACGGTTTTGAAAATGAACGACGAGTAACGTATGTAAGTGATAAAATCAAGCGACAACGGAGAAACCGGAACGCGCCGATGCAACCGTGGTCGTCCTTCTCGGGGCAAGTTCAACGGTCAACCTCCGGTGACCCGGTAACGAGTTTCCCGGTAGAAAAACCATCTCGTCGTCTCGTGAGAGAGAGAGTAACCGTAAACCCTCGAGATTTTCGAGGAAGCGGCGGATGTGGAAACGGGCACTACGAACGCGCGGTCTCGAACGAATGCAAAATTAATTAATTCTCCAAATGTGAAAGCGTCCTTTTCCGTGCTGAAGACCCACCCTCTCCCGGCAATCGATTGGCGGGCGAATCGCGTCAAAGAGAGATGCTTATTTACCCTCACGTTCCCATTTGCTCCAACGCGAGTCCGTCGGTCGAGATCCGTGGATCGCCGCGTCAACTATCCATCGTGTCGCCCGAACGCCGACGTTTATCGTCACGGAATTTTTCCCTCCCGATTGCCACGCGCCCCGAATATCAATGCGCGCGCAGTATCAATTAGCACGTAATTAACGGGGGAATGTTGATCGGATATCCCATTAAATCGGAGCATCTCCGACCGCTCGCGAACGTGAGGATGCATTCGACGAGACACCGTTGCACTTGAGACCGACTCGAGAGCGACGTCGCATCGCATCGCGATTCTCGCGCCGATGAACACGCGGCCCGCGAGCGCGTGGTTCAATGGACCCACGCCAACGTAATCGCACGACATGCAAAATTATGCGTTCTGAGAATGCACTGCGTGTGTACGACTCGATAAAACCGCGACGGAGTGCACGGTCGCGGAGCGGAGCACCGCTAAAAGCCGCCGGCGAAGGAAAGGCGGAGGAAAGGCGGCGGCCGGAGGCGGAAAGGGGAGAGAGCCATTTTCTTTCGTTGAATAATTATGACAGTTTGGAGAAAGCGAGGCACACCTACTATTACCACTGCCTATCTCCCTCGTTCTCTTTCTCTCTCTCTCTCTCTCTCCTTCTCTCTTATCTTGCGACATTCAAATTTATTTGCACAAAATTTATATTAAGAAGAGCTTCCACTGTAACGCTCTTACAGAGTTATACTCTAGAATGATAATAAAAGCACTTATCCATCTATATTGATAGAAAATTATAATTATTTTCGGCATGAAACATACATTTTTTTATTTTTAACCACAAAAATAGCAATATACGCGGGGGAAAAAGACGAGTAACATTAACGTGACAATGAACGAATCGAACGCGTTTCGACTGAAGAAAACCGAACGTCTGATTTTTATGAACCAAATTCGGCAAATAAGAACCAGAAACTCCGTTTCCTTCAACCAAAAAGCGAGCGTTTGGTTCGTCCTCCGTCGTGTCAATTCAACCGATCTTTTTCTTCCATGTGAATAACGTGGCGGATTCAAGGGAAGATCGAAAACGCACTTGTTTGCCATTATGAATCAAACGTTGCGAACAATACGGATCGAATAGTTGCAAATTTTATGCTGTATTCGTCCGGGACTTCCGCGTTCGTGCGACTTCCGCGGATTTACCGCGGAATCCTCGAAATATTTGCCCGCGGTAAGAAAAACTCCTCCGCAGAGAGAATATTAGTTCGAGGCAACACCTCGCCTCCCCTCCCCTCCCCCCCTTCTTTCTTTCTATGCGGACATGCGCGGTCGAGCACGGTGGCATTGCACGCGTGACGTTACATCGCAGTTAGATAAACCCCATTGAAACCCGACGTGGTTGCGCTGCAGCTACACGACCGCTGTGTATGCAACTATGCGGCGGGACCGCGCGCGCTGCAGCCGACGGTGGATTCGAATTAATTACAGCAATGACATATCGACAGTGCCGTAACGTAAAGGAGAGGAATAAAAAGAATTACGCAAGGCCGGAACCTCAATGATACGCTATAAGAAGAGACTTGCTTTGTATATGTATAGAAATAAGTTGGTCCCCGGGTTGACTTTTGCAACAGCAAGCAGCTTTCGACGGCAACATTAATGGTAGGTAAAAGATTCGGGATATTAAATGAAAGAGAAAGAAGTATTGACTTTAGTGTACTGAGAAAAAGAAAATGTTGGCACTTGTAAATATAATCACATAAATAAAAGAATTATCATCAGAACAGTTTTTTCTCATAAATGTTTCTATTGTATCGATGCGATAACTTTATGGACTACTGATATTTTCATCATATTTTATCATATTTATCATATTACTGCTACTATTTTTGGGGTTAGCATCAGAAGGAGATATAGTTGAGACGGCAAATGACTGTAAATTTAGTGGGATTTCTCTCAGTGTGAGAGCCACGAGTTTCAGTTCGATCTCACGACGGATACGCTATCGAGGGAGAGTGAGAAAAAGGCAAAAGTCTCGCGTCCGTCCGTATCGATCGGCCTTTCGACGCTCCTTTTCGGTAGAGGCGCCGTTACACGTGGTGCGATTGTGCGTTTCAAGGCGAAATCAAGAATTCGACGATCGTCCCGAACGCGGATGGAATAAAAAATATGGTGGGGCACTCTGCGTCTATCCAGCTCGTTACCCTTCCGCGATCGCAATCTAATACGGAACGAAAGGCAAGGTAAGGACCGTTTTACGGCCACGACGACCGTCGTCGTCGCCATCGTCGGGAAGAAGCGGGCGATTCCGCCGTGTCGCTCACCTGCGAGGCTTCCGCGACGGGACGATTAAAGCGATTAATGAGCGAATTCTTCTCGTATTCCAGCTCGCGTGGAAACACAGCCGAACGGGAAGTGGCGCGCGAGTCGGCCAGGAAGGCCACTCGGAGATCTGGCGAAAGCCTCGGAGATAACAACATATAAATAAGACTCCGCGCATTTGAATAATAAGATGCGCATTTACCGCGAAAACACGTCGACCTCTTTCCACGTCGCACATTGTAATATGTGGAATAAAGCGCGCGGGCAACGTCTCGCATGAAAAAAGTCCGACGGAATAAAGGGCAAAACATACACTTGAGAACAGCTGCGGAGCAGCGGCGTGACTTTCGTTCTTTGCGCTTATTCTTATGCAGCACGAGAGCACTGCACTTGAGTGCATACCGGCGCAGATCGAGCGAACCGACCGTAGCCTTCTCCTCGACATCGCGATTTCTCCGCCGCATCGAGCTCGGCTGCGATTTCGTCTCAAAATTCGCACCGTTATAAGTGAAAAGTACGGAGAAAAGAAAGAAAGTGGGAGAAACAATCCGAGGAGATGGAACAAGGATGGAGGACGACTTGCACGACACTTTCTTACGGGGGGAGGGGGAGATTTGAAAATACTGCACGCGAGCCGTCACTCTTCGGCCACTGTCGGCCCGAGTGTTTTGATTACGGTAAATGTGAGTTTGCAGACTCACCTTCTTGATTGGGATTGTTGGTATTCGGATGCGAAGTCAGGGAAGACGGTGTCTCGTCCTCAGCGACGCCCATCGTCGTAGCTGCCGTTTGCTGATGATGCGTCTCCACTTCTGTCGCCTCTTCGCACCTGCGGATCAATTAGAGAGAGATTTATGTAACGTGGATTTTACCGTCTCGGGCGGCCGAGCAACTTTTGTCACAATAAAAATAAGAAAAAGCACTGTAGCATTATAACATCTTCTTTTCCTCTTTTTTCTCTTTTTATTATTCTCTTAATATTAATCTTCTTATATTTATATTCACGTTTATTTTTCTATTACAGCGACTTTAAATTTTATTTTTCTCCTTATTATATTCTTACGTGAAAACTGTGCTTTCCTCTTACTTGCATTTTGATAAAACATTATCTTGGAGCGTAATAAATTATAATTCTACTCTGTGAGAAACTTCGTTTTTGCACGGCGCAATTTTTCATGAATAAAATATTGGTTAGTAAGATGTAATCCTCTGATAAGATATTATAATAGACCGTGAGAAATCAGTATTCCATTCCATTCTCTTTGAGAAAAGTCTCGTTTTTACACGGCAAAAATCCTCTAGGACAAGGTTTGCCCGGGGTCGTCCGGAGTGTTGCGTAAGTTGGACAGCGTTCAGTTCGCTTTGCATAAATAATATTCAAAGCATGAAGAGTCGTAATACACGACGACTACGACACATGCGATTCGTCACGCGCCGACTCAGCTTTGCTCTCATTCGCGCACAAGCGCGCTGCACAGTGCGCTGCGCCGATTTCGCTGTCATTTGAGGCGAATCCAGCGCATTAGTCTCGCTCGGGGTGACTTCGCTTCTGGAAATTGTTCTCCTGAGGAGCAAGAGTGAAACACGCCGAGTACGCTTCCGACTTATCGTCCATCGACTCCGCCGACATTCGCGTATAATCTAAATGAATCTACGCACGGAATAAAGAAACTGATTTCTGCATAAAAACGGGAAATTGGATGCGACACTCACTTTAGCCCGGGCTAAAAATGCACCGTGGGACCGACCGTGAAAAAAAAAATATAGGAACGAAAATGTGCCGGAGCAAAAGTCAAAGGGGATCAATCGCGGAATTGAAATCGGAAACGGAGCGGAGCACGTCGTTTTGACGGACCTCGAAACGCGTCAGAGCGAGCGTTAAATGATACCGTGACGTCCACAAAAGAACCAACGGCCAACCGATGGGAATCGACCGCGGAGATTTCATGCCGATGGCCGAGCATCGTTGCATCTCGCCGCATGCACCTACGCGTAACCCGGCGCACTGCAGCGGTCATAGGCATTCATTGGATCACGGGCTTCCGCCAACCTCTCGTCCACCCTCCCCCCCCCCTTCCCCTCTTTCTCGCTCGCTCGTTGTTCGTATTGTCCGCGCACAAGGCGCGTGTGCGCGTACGCGCTTATTGTCACGATAATTGCGCTTTCGTGCAATTACGTTCTCGGGCCGATGCATGCCGAGTGCAGTGCACGGCGCAGCGCGGCGCTGCGCGTCGCGCAAACGGCGCCGTCATCATCCGAGCACGGTCCAGTCCGCGAAATAGAGACGACGCGCGGGCTATAACGGTATGTTGACCTCCGTGACGACGTTGAGTGCTGCTCGCGCGCGATACCAACGCGCGTCGGAGAACGTTGCGCATCCTCGCATCGGCCTTTTCGGAACGGTACGAGCATCTGTCGACCGGTCGGTCGATCGATCGGGGGAAGGAGGCGCGATTTTTCCGCGAGATACGAATTTTCACACGGAGAACATTAGGTGCGTACTGTCGTCTGGGCAGTTTAACACGTTAAACGCCGGGACGATACTATATTGAGAAAAATGTTTGATATTTGTAACTATAATCGCGTAAGTGAAAGAATCATAATCGGGGGAAGTATTTTTTTAGCAAGCGTTAGTATACGTCAGTGACAATAACACATATTGCTATCGTTATTTTTTGTTAAAATCAAAAATACAGTTGAGGCTGGAAATAATTGTGATTTTAGTGCCATTTATCTCAGTGTATGATACTACGGCGTCTCATTAAATTACTCACGAAGAATAATTAATTGCGCTTGGAAAATCGACTATAATCGCGCAATGAAACGAAGTAAATGACATATCTGCCTCGGATTACATTTATTTGCCGTTCCTTTGGTAATTTGAGTATCAAACAGCACATGGCCTGTTCGTGGAGATTTCACGATGGATCGTTGATCGACTAATCAATCTGGATTCTCGATAATAAGAATTATATTGTTTTTATTTTAAAAAATTAATTCGTTAATTATTAGGAAAATTATTGTTTTTTTTTTTATTTTATTCCACCGATTCCTATATTGTAAAAATTGTGAAAGTTTAAATCAATGGTATGCTGCTGCACACACAGTTGACAAAGAGTCCATTTTCCAAAGCCCAACGAGAATCGTAACTGGCGCGGTTAACAATATGTTGAGCTTTTCATACGATCAACGAACCAGTCAACGTGTCAAAGGATCGATGAAGCCCGCCGAGAGAAATGAAGTATTGCATCGTGAAATTTCCCCATTGCATCCCAATTTCGAGAAATCCACGACGTATACGGTGACTCATATATCGTGACCTTGCTTAGCAAGTGAGAGTTAAATATAGCTGATAGCCCCAACAAAAGAGTATCGCGCGCACTTGCTTTGTATGCCAGTCGAGGAGCGCGCTTTAATCCTTTTCCTTGCGATGAACGTGTAAACAAAGGATGTCCCTGAGACCGCGAGCTTAATATTAATGGCATGTCTTTCGAAAAAAGTTTGGAGCAGCTTCCTTCCGCGCGAGAGAGAATCGTAACCACGTGCGGATGATCATAAACGAGATAAGGAGCAGACTACCTTCATCTCCGTGACTTGATAAACATTATTTTTAACGAATCACTTATCGACCACTCTTCAACTCTACAAAAATCAACTGCTCCTTGCCACGGTTTTCTTCACTCGAGGATTATAATCGATAAACTAAGGTGAGAAAGAAACTTAAGGCGTCTGAGCGGATCGGAACGAACTACGCAAGTCCGCGGGATCGAAAGTAAACCGCGAGTCGTGATTATTTCGCTAACAGTACAACGCTGGCGCGTGATTTCTTCGTAATAACATATGCGTTGTTCAAGTTACGTTTCTATTAAGTGGTAAAATCAATACTTCGCTAAATAGCGGAGAACAGATGACATACGACCGTTTCTCTCTCTCTCTCTCTCTCTCTCGTTCATATTAAACAGCTTGCATTACAGTTGTACGAAGTCAAATAGTTTGCCCGCGCACAGTTTAGTCGCGGACAGTTGGCGAAGTCGGTATGTGTACGCGGTTTAACCGTAGGATGCACTTCAAAGGTCAAACTGACCCCGAGCGCTGCGCGTGCAATTTTCTTATCGCACTTACAATACAGCAAAGCAAGGCGCGCAACACTTACGTAATAACGTGGTAACGCAACGCAACGATTATACGGAGAGAGCGTCGGATCGGCCGAACTTCTCCTTTTACCATTTACCTTCGCGATATCGCGCGTCTTACAAGCGCTGGCGTACGGTCGGATTAATTGTAATTTTAAGTCGTGTTACGCACGACATTTAGATAAGGGTCTAATAATACAGTCTAAGAACCAGACAGGGGAACGTATGTAACGAGCGCGGGATATCGATTGGATGTCTTACAAAGAAGCAACGCTCGTACCGCTGCTCGGATCTACCGATATCCGAATAGCGAGAATATTCCAGTATATCTGGATTATACTTATGCGACTCGAATCCGGATTTGCCAACTTTCGGATATTCGTACAAATTGCGTCCAAGAGAGAAAGAGAGAATGTAAATCAGAATTTTAATCAAATTAAAAATAAAAACAGAGTGCTACGATACATGGTTGTTAGATAAAAATTTAACGTATCAGATAGAAGCATGTCAATGTTTCAAATTCAAACTCTAGCAGAGAATCCATGCGACGTCTTTCTCTGACCTCTCCACGTATAAACGACAGGTTATACAACACGACAATTTTTCAGAAAATGTTATATCTTTCCTGGCGCAACTAATGAAATTGAAGCTCACACCTTTAGTGAAAAACAGGGTTTATTCAAAGAACATGAGGTAATTATCTGATATCGTTTACTTTAGAATGTTTTCTGACGGACACGACCATCTGAGAGAAAATAAACAAAGTCCCGCTAAAGTCCCGCAAAGTCTAGATAATATAAATTCTTTTCTTATCGCGCGCACACGTGCGGTGTATCGATCTACCGAGGTAACTGCTTTGTTTCTTACACTGGCGCATCACGTTGCGCAAGCGGGACGAAACAATGATTAATTTCGTGCCTCCGATTCGCGCATTGGGCGCGCTCAATCTCAAAATATACGAAATCGAATAATTCGCATCGTACAGCCCAACGCGATCATCATCACGGCTTTCCCACCACGCCTCTGAAAACGCTCGCGGAGAGAATTGGCGGAGCGTAGCTCCGTCGTAAAACAGGCTCGCTTTCTCGCTCTCTCGTTCTCTATTTCGCTCAATCTCCCGGTACGAGACTCAGGTCGTTTCTCTCCCGGCCAACGACCGTCCACCTTCAGTTTTGTATCCCCCCAGACAGCACGCCTTATACGTCGACAGGTAGATGCGGCGTTCGAGATATATACGCGTCCAGGGTGGTCCGAAGATAAGGGCCGGCCAGCGAGGGACTCTCCTCGAGGCCTCGCTTAGACGCGCTTCCGTGTGGACCAGGCTTAATCGTCATCCGTTTCCCGGGTCCGAGTCCGAATCAATTAAATCGATTCGATGCGTTCTCGCGTTGCGCTTTTCAACCCACGTAGAAATACGCGCTCAAAAATTCGACATTTCCCACGACATGTTAAAGTGTAATCCCGAATATAACGATGAACTTATTTTCCGGAGAACTTAATCTCGAGAACATATTTTCCTCGAATTGAAATACTCGGTTATTAACCGAATACGGTGCGCAAATAAATTAATCGACTGTATGTATAAAGTTCCAAGGCTGTTACATCAATTACGATAATAATGTAAAATGAATCGTCATACATACATTTTGATACAGTTGATGTCGCAATAATTCGATGTGTTAATTTGTTACGGCTGGGTGCACAGTTCGAGTATAAACACGGAGTTAATTAAGGAGCAATCCAATTTAATCGAATGATCCGGGAAATGGATGAAGATGATAACAGGTAAGTATATCATATCTTACTCCACTTGGCTGCGTGTTCCAATGTAACCTCCGCGAAAGCGAATTGCGACTAGACCAGAAGAATCATGACGGAAAGGTGAAGACTATAGAGGACTAAGGGTAGGAAAGATGGAGAGGGGGATAGATCGGCCCTTCGCAAAAAGTGGCATCCAAAGTGTCGGTCGACCGGTTCCGTGCGCACGTACCTGTCACGTATATCCCCTTAAATACGGCGTTAGAGGAAGAAGGACGATTGGCAAAGGGAAGAAGAGGCAAGGGAAAAGAGAGAAAGAGAGATATCACATGTGTGTAGACTATACGAATGAAGCGGCGCGCGCACTCACACCGACGCGCATGCACGCGCGAGCGTAGGCGACGTTGTATACGGGGTGTCCAAGAATTGATGGAAAATGCACGCACAGGCTTGTCCCTTTGGAAGCATCGTAGAAACGTGGCCTGAATTTCTCTGTCATCGAAAACATCGAGATGCTGATCATTTCTCGGAGCTGTAAGAACGACGGGGATCTTTCGCAAAAACGGGGAAACAGAGCGTGATTCACGATTAACACAATCCACCCACGTGTGATCGAAAGTCCTGCTACCCTACTCAAGGCTCAGTCACTGATGATATCGAGTGTCGAAATGTGAAGAAACTCGTCGAGTGTTTAACGAGGGAAACGTACGCGCTCCGAGCGTAGCACAAGGACGAAGGACGCAATCATCTATCCCCAAATTCCGGAGCACCCGGTATACGTACACATACGCAGGAGACCGTATAGTACGAGCTGTGCTGTACGGCGAACCGGTCCGTGTTTATAACAATACGTCGACGAGGCCGTGGCCGAGAGCGCGACGGCCGTCAGCGAAACCCTTTCTCTCATAGGGCGCTCACCACAGCCCGTCCGCGATTTGGCTCGCTCGTGCTCGCGAGCCAACGAGCGAGAAAGCGAGAGTGAGAGACGGAGCGAACGACGCGCGGTTTGCACACTGCAAGTGTACTCACATCTTAATACCCGGCCGTGGACCGCATTCGTGGGCAGGAGGACGTTCCGTGGCTGGATATCACGTAGCGACCGCCGCTCCCTACGGCTGCTGCTGTCACGATATTATCCGCGAGATACGTCGTACACTGTGTGTATCGTCGTCGTCCGCCCCCCTCGTCGCGATATCGTCACTCGCGTGAACGGCCCCGCACGCACGGGGTGTCGTACTTGCGCGCACTCCCGAACTCGCTCGGCCAGGTTAGCAGCGCCCGCCGTTCGTTCGTCGCGTGAACGCCAGAAGGAAACGTCTCTCTCTCTCTCTCTCACTCGGGGGAGAGAGAGAGAGAGGAAGAGAGCCGGGGAAGACGCGAGAGCGAACGAAAGCGGCACGACGATCCACCTACGTACACGGCAACAACAGGAGCACGAGGCCCACGGTCCTCTGGTGGCACGGAGAGAACACGGACGCGGGACGTTGGCGCGATGCACGCGCGCTTGCCACGCAGGACGCCGAAAATCCCGAGCGCGACCAGATATTGACAAATACTCGGCACGGCGTCGCGACACCGTCGACGGCCTGTCTGCCCGCCCGTATCGCGCTCGCGCCACGGCCTGCCGGCGCCACCGCGCGGCCGGCATGCGCAACTAATGGCCGACCGGCGTTCCCCCGCGCGCCGGTGTTTTCAAGCCGCAGCGCTGGGCCGAGCGGTCACCTTGGCGCGGCGGTAAACACATGGGTCTCGACGATAACCAAGTGCCGAGAATGGGAGAATGTTTTTTGCGCGCTGTCATTTCTTGGAGTAAAATGGATCACGAACATGGAGAGATCGATAACTCGGGAACAGTACGAGAGCACGCGGATGTTACCGACCGTTCCCGAACAAGTCGTTGCAAGTTCGTGACATGAATAAATACGAAACAGGTAGAACGGGTAGAAAATGACCATGGCGTCAAAATAATAAGAAAGTGATCGAAAAGTGAGCTTTCGTAATCATTTTCTCGTTATTTTGACGTCATCGTGATTTTCTATTCTATTTGAGATTTAGACAACACATATATATATAATACACGTCTCCGACGCATTAACATATTGTTTGCAATATAATCACCTGAATATCGCTGTAATATAAACGCTTATAATCTGCAGTGATACTCACTCTTCCTTCAACGAGTTGTAAGAATGAACGATCCGATGTAAAACGGAGTTTATTCCAGGCCACCTCGACACTTCACTCGACACTCCCGACGATCAGTTTCGCGAGATATTTCACTTGCAGCGAATTCACTTCACTTTAACGGTACTTTGCTATGACACACACGCGTGAGACTTACTTTCGACACTCCCGATGATATGTTGCGCATAGGACTCTTCGACGAGCCCAAGGCGGAGAGTGCAGCGCGTTTGAATTTCACAAGCCGCCATAACGCGACGAAACGTTACAATACTTTACTCGGCACTCGCTCGACCGCGAGATATCTACCTTCGGCGGCTACTCGACGATATTTCGTGACAACACACACGCGGAACTTGCTTTCGGCGATAATTTGCACGCGAGACTCGTCTGAGGCGCGTCAACGCTCCGCCATCCGTCGTTCAACTGACCGTTGCTGCTTATGGCGATTATTAAGATACTCGAAGTATCGATATACGCGCACTTCACTCGGGACTCCCGACAGCCCCATATCGCGACACGTCCATTTTCGACAGCCTCTCGAGAATACTTGGCATTACGAAACTTACGACACTCCCGAGGATGATAATTCACGCACGAGACTTCCGTGAACGATTAAACAAGAAGCGGTTTAAATTGCTGAATTATCATAACCTGGCAATCGCATGCCACTGTTCAGCATTCCTGGCGGCTATTTTGTCGTATTTTGGCCGCGAGAACTGCGTGGAATTTACTTCCGACACTCCCGATGATGATCGCGCGCGAGAGCGAACCTCTCAGGTGGGTCAAAATCACGAAAACGCGGGACGATTTAACGAATCCGAACTACCATGCCGGAATCTGTTCCGCGACTAATCGTACATATGGCGGCGATTGAGATATTGAAATTCAAATGTGCTCGGGTTGAACTCGGGTCGCTGTAACGCGCGAAACTTCACTCGATAATACCACTAGCGCCATTTCCAGCATCATTTTTCTCACAAATGTGCTAGATTTAATTATATTTGCATACTTTCTTTACTTTCTTTCTTCACTTTGTTCAATATTATTAGCAGAAATATTTCTCGCGTCTCGTAGAGTATTTATAACAATAATAATATGTAACAATATACAACGATAGCAACAGGTTGTCGCGATTTCGCATTTCCAGTTGCACAAAATATGACATTATATCGATTTGTTGTAAACATGATGTCTTACAAAAGGCAACGAAATAGATATGTATTACAGGCTCGGTGTTACACAGTAGAAATGTAACCGTGCACACCGATGACGTCACTGTTGAGTCTGGAACAGCTGTTCTAAACAGTAGTGTACGTTGTCGTGCGAACAATATCCATTGACAAAGTTTAATTTGATATTAGTGACGGAGAGTACGTATTATTATTTCGACAAGCCATAGAAATTTGTAATCCTGCATTAAATTCTACATTTTCGTGTTCATGTTGCGTACATTCGCGTACATTTATGTGTAACGCAGTTTAACGTAGCTTCCTAACCTAAAAGTGTATGCATTTACTCTTTTGCTATTTTATTCCTTTTAAATAATATACAGAACGTTGTTCAATGTAATGCTATGCTATATGACATAAAATCATAAAATATTTCATGCTGATAAAAAGCAAAAATATAGTTATTTTAGTGTTTCACACTACTACACGATTGTATTTATATACTTTATAAAATTGTGACACTTTTTGTTTGCTAATATATATTCGTGACGTATTCATAAGTATATTTGCAAATATATACTTACATGTATGCATTTTCAATACTTATTATTGTTTTTATAGGTTACAATGGAAAATATCTTTGGGAAGGAAGATTCTGGAAATGAAAGCGAACATAATGATGTTGATGATGACAAAGATAACCCCTTACAAAATTCAGCGTCCAAAGATATCGAGGTTATGGATATTGATAGTTTGCAAGTTAAGGTATAAGTGTCATTTAAAAATCAAGGCTATATTCAGATATTTACTGTCAGTACTGAAAATCTATAGTTCATATTACACACTTAGATATGGCATAGATTTTCACTACTGACAGTGAATATTAGAATGTAGTTTAGAACTCATAATTCTCTATATATTAACAGTTCTAAATATATTTTGGTAATATTACAGGCAGAATCTGACGCAATGAGTTCTCGGTCACAGTCAGACACGGAAGATATGCCATTGAATTCTATAACTCCAATTATAGAAGATCAAATAGAAATTATAAAGCACGAAATTGAAACGAAAGAGGAAGAACAAACTCCCGAGGATATATTCGGTAACGATATCATATTACCACGTGCGAAGCCAATTAGTTCTAAAGAAAGAAGAGAGAGTAAGGAAAAGAGCAAAAAGGAACTAGAAGAAGAGGAACGAGAAAAGATGCAGTATGTATTCTACATCGAAAGATATGCGATATATACTGCCTCAAAAATACTTTTGATAATCACCATCTCATTTTAACAGGGTGTTAGTATCCAACTTCACTGAGGATCAATTGGATAGGTATGAGATGTACAGACGTGCTGCATTTCCAAAAGCAGCTATAAAGAGGGTGTCGTATCTAAACTTTATTTATTATTCGATAGAGAGTTAACAACCTGTAATTAGAAAAAATATATTTTATCATTTACATTTCAGATCATGCAAACTATAACGGGTTGTTCAGTGTCCCAGAATGTTGTTATAGCTATGTCAGGAATTGCCAAAGTATTCGTTGGTGAGATCGTCGAAGAAGGTATAGTCTTTTTCATATAGCTGATTACATCATTATTGAACTAATAGATATTATTGATTCTAAATTATTGCGATTGCGCAGCTTTGGACGTTATGGAACGTCACGATGAAACCGGTCCATTACAGCCAAAGCATCTGCGAGAGGCTGTCCGCCGGTTGAGGCTGCAAGGCCAGATACCAAATGGTCGAGCACACAAAGCTTTTTTCAGACTCTAATGTCAGTCATAGTCGGACATTGTCGACATGTTAGTACAATGCTTCTCTTATAGAAGCCTATCGGTGTTAGAATCTGTTAACATTGTGTGCGTATACAAAATATCGTTAGCAGTCAGGCTCAGACTTTACATGTTAAACCTACCACCTCTGCCTATCATGCTCAAATTACGTACAGACATCTGTACTTGACTGTAAGTCGACATTTATTAATATTATATAAACTATTATATTTTATTAAGTATATCGGTTTATGCTTTGATCTCCAAGTAGAATAAGCCGAACATAGTTACACGTCTATTTTTATATTACATGCACATTTTATTGACACATGAATTTTAAATATCCCTGGAACTTTTAAAGTACATGTATAAAGTAAATAGGAAAGGGGGTAATCGTGATCATTATATATATATTTAATTGCAAATTATGCATATATGAGGAATATATGCAACGTTACATATAACATGTGTAACACGTGAATACGTATTTTGGTAGTTACTCATAAAAAAACATGTGATAGTATTTTAATATATCATTTATAATATTTATACTGTATATTTTAAATTAACAATTAATGTAATATGTTATATCATCTCATTGTACTTGTTTGTCTCATCATAGGATTATTAATATCCTGTTTTATATAAACATCTCTCCTTTTTACAAAGTTTATAGCTGATCTATCAAAATGTACATCTTCCTGGAATTCCTGATATATAATTATGATAAATCTAAGAATATTAATCGTTATATTGTAAACACAGTTGAATTATGCATTGAAATCTAGACAATCTAAAAGCAAACGAAAAAAAAAAAAAATGGAAATATCGTTGTAAAGACGAAAAACTTTAGATGTAGAATAAATACAATAGTCTGCAAAATGGTTTATGTGCTTTTATTTACAAAAGAACGCATGTTTTTCTCTCGAACCAAAGTAATATTTTTAGAGACATATCGATATTATCAATACTGAATGTAGCCGAAGATTTTCTATTCGATATTTCTATATATTCATAATCGCGCGACGAAAATATGATATGCGAATATTACTTACATTAATGTTGATGTATAATATTTACTTTGGTTGCGCGATTTATGAGGTAATAAGGTCTGCAAAATTCTGTACCGTTGAAGCACTTGCGATTAACGTGCCACGAAATTACGTAATTGTATCAGCAACTGATTTGGACAATGAATCGAAAAGGTAAAATTTGGATGAAATTGTAAATTATGTCGGCACCTGTCAACACAATCCATACATTAATCTAATGTGTTTTAACGGTAATGAAAGAAGTCATTATTTGGACGTTAATTCGCAGCCGTGTTACCGTTCCATTCAGCGATCCGTGGTGAACAAATTACAGGTTTGTGCGAATGCGAGGCGAATGTAACTCGATTTCAAAGTAAAGATTTACACATGTTACATTATGCGAGGAAATTCCTCACGATGATTTTCGCGTATACCAGGTGAAAAGCGAGAAATCCACAGCGCAACGACGTTATCGTAGAAATACCAGCAGAGATTCACACCCGCGCTTCCGTATGACTATCGATGCAATCTATCGGCGAAAGTTGCTCGGTCACGAGCGAAATTTTCCCAAACGACCCATGAGACGTCGCAAATCTCGCAGGATGCATCGGGAGAACGTCACGACAAGGAAAACGGAATTGCGAGAGAGAAGGCACAATGCCGTCGCGAAAAAAACCGTATCGACGAGCGATAAAAACACAAGTAATGAGACTATGTTGTTAATCGGACATGCAAATTTCCTGTTTTTCCTTCTAGATATTGACACATGGGATGATTGGAGTAATTGGAGTGCATGCAGCGTGACTTGTGGACAAGGACGGCAGGTTCGTTGGCGACATTGCCTTTCTGAAAACTGTGACGAAGGTCATAAAAAGGCACAGATGAGGAGCTGCCGTCTTGTAAATTGCCAAACGAAAGGTTTCCTTGGCTGGCTCGGGATCAAGCCTTGATCTGTAACGTTACGAGAGCGCTGTTAATAAACATCACATTTAGTAATATCTTCTTATATAACTTTGCTTTAAACTACGCTTCAAAATTGCTTTATTTTCACACCTAAATCGCAATGATATTGTTATTTAAATACTTGGGTTTCCTAATTGCCGAGCAGTGTCGAGAGAGAATATGTATTTCTGTACTTGATATACATTTATATTTGAAAATAATAAATATTATGTAAATTAAAATTATGAATTAAAATATTAAAAATTAAAGTATAATAAAAAGGTGATTATAAAGAATTGTAACGGGAATATCGATGATTATTTGTAACCACGGTGCACATAACAACACAACAATAATTTGTGGAAAACTTCAGATTATTTAACAAGCAATACGGACCGGAGAAATCATATCAGTTTTATAAAAAAATTAGCAACACACGAGAAGAGTATGTCATTGAAGAGAATTCCACTGATTTCTATGTACTTTTTTATATTCCTGCTTTCTACAGGTGGATCTCCGAGATACTTACGATTTGTGGAGATATTTATTATCTTCTTTCTTTTATATATAAGAAAAGTATTTCAATTTCAGCTTTCAGAGGAGTCAATGTGGAATTTAACAGCGCGTTATCAAACATCACTCCTACTCTCGTGGCACGTAGGATCGATAAGACACCGGAGATGAGCGAGACATCGAATAAATTTCAACGTAAAATTTATAAAACCGATAACGATGTAGGCGACAATCGCAAAGAGGACGATGACACCCAGATGCTAGTGAAACGAGCGGGTAAACAATATGATTTCTCTTTCCATCATATATATATATATAATATAAATATACGTAAACGAAATATATATCAATGAAAAATGTTAAATATCGATAAAAAAATTTGATTTAATTTTTGAATTAAATTTGACTACATTATACTCAAAGATCTGCAAATAAATTATTCATTAGTCAAATAATCATCGTTATCGCGCTAATAATACGTAACATTTATAAAAAACCGAACTGACTTTTTCGACTGAACCAGTTATAAATTGTTATAAATTACATCAATATAATTGAAAGCGAGGGACTTCAATAAAAAATACATATATCGCAGGACTATATTGTACTATCGACGAAGTAATCTGATATTACTTCGTACAAAATTTTTACAATATAATATATACATTTATATATACATCACATACAGGCTTTCGCAATTTATAGAAATTTATACTTTTAATCGTGACATTGTTTGCTTGCAGTAATACATTTGTAAAGTTTAACAGTTAGTCCTTTATGATTGCGATATTATAATGCCAGGTGCGAAATTCGCGGAATTTTTTAATTCGAAATATCACGTAGAAAAAAATTCATGTAATTAAATTAGGAAACATAGTCACACGAGACAGAAATCTGGGAGTCGGCGCGAGTCACGCGACCGTGGGTCGTCGATCGTGACTTTCTCCGGGACCGGTTTGTAATTTAACTGCCGGCAATACCATCAAAGTGTATGTAAAACTATATTTGTGAACGATGAGTGGAAATTTCCGCAGGCTAGTTACCTGTAGTAACTGTTACATCAACTGGTACATGATGGATGGCCAATTAACAGTTGTGAAAGACTATCAACGTCAGTATCCGCGAATTGAAATTTGATTTTCTTGATTTATCTTCTTATTTTCTTGATTTATCTTCTTGATTTATCTTCTTGATTTACCTTTTATTTACAAAATTATGATTTATACACCCCCAAGAAGAAAACACTCTATTCCATTCAATTCTTCAAGCAATAGAATTTGATTTGACAAGGGATGATAGTTGAGTGACTATAAGACCAACATAACGTTATTTCAGAAAGCAAAAACGACAGAGAACCGAAGATATGGGACCAGTGGAGCAAGTGGTCCAGATGCAGCGTCACTTGTGGGATAGGGACGATCATGAGGTGGAGGCATTGCATAGGAGGAAGTTGTTTCCCGGGAGAGAAGAAAGCTCAGTTAAAAACCTGCACTTCCGCCGCGTGTTAGGATGCTTTCATGCATAACTGCAATGACCGTAATAACATTATCGTTAGAAACGAGTATGCTCTTATCTCTATCTAGAAACTGTTAATTGTTATCTGTGATATTTTATCCTTTACGTAATACAGGAAATACGAGAGGAATTTACGACTTAGGAATCGCGGTGGTATATATGAACGATCATTTCACGATACTTTCACAAGTCTCAAAAATCTAACAAAATGACCTCATCGTATAACTGGCGATTGAGTTGCCTATGAAAGAGAAGCGGGTAAAAATAAACCTTGCCAACTGAATAACTACTGATCATTGTAGTATGGTGAATGCGCAACGCGATACAAATCCATCAATGTTCGGTTCTCTTTCCTTCTTCGCAGCAGATATAACTAGATATAACTGATTTGTCTGGGCTTATAGATAATTTTCCAAGTCTAACAACAGGTACATTATATAGTCTTTTTCACCAACTTATACTTCAGTCCCTTTGAAAATAATCATCAGACTTGTAGATTGGTGGCGATTTGTATATTGGCACTGTTCCGGTAGCAACAGGCTCTTGAGTTTTCTTCTGCAATATTAAGAGAAGCAATAAAATTCATCTGATTCGAGTTATCACGAAAATATACTCGAAGTGTTGTACTTACAAAAAATGATAAAGGATTCAGCATGCCAAATAATCTGTCTGACACACCTAACTCAGCTTCTGTCTTATCTACAGCAGCTTCTAATGCATTTAAGTTCATATTAACCATTGCAACAACATGTTCCAGGGCATCTATCCTTTTACGAAGATTTGCCATGCCATCCTTCATGTACTGCAACTTTGGAAGATGTTGTTGCATGCATTCTGTGCTTTCACTTTTCACCTTGTAAGACATAAATATTTATAGTTACGGTTAGAACATCAATACTGACTCGATTGTGATAATTTATTATTTCTTCTAACCATTGCGACGATAGACTGGAACTCCTCCAAGCGTATTAATGTATCCTCAATGATATCACGGAAATCTTTCATCTGGAAAACGTAAAAATCATCAAAATTCATTATACATTATTTTTCTACAGCAGCTCGATATCGAATGTCAAGTAAAAAGTACCCACCTGGTCGTCCCAGTTTACTTTTGCATAACTCGTATAATCTCGAACTAATTGCTCAGTCAATTCAGTTGTATGTGAGGATGTCATTTCGTATTCTTTTGATGACGATTAAAATGATTAAACGGAAAAATATGTGTTATAGGTTATAAAGCGCAAATAAGTATATAGAATGGCTTGTTATCGTATGGAGAAGCACTGAACGTGTGTGGATATATCCGACATTTTATTCGAATTAAAAGAAAATATTGAACAGTGATCGTATAACATTAATCCGACTAGCGTTCCTTTTTCTCTCTTTCTTGCCATCGAAGACGTGATGTCAGCGGATCTGCTCGTTTTACTTGCACTTTTCAGACATTTCATATGTTCTCTCTTGCTCTTAGATCTGAGTATACATACAGCTATTTCGTTTCTGAAGCTGAAAGTGTAGCTGATCCGATGATATTGCGCGTGCGCAGTTCAGGAGATTTATTGCGTGTGAAATTTAAAAATCTGTCACTTGTCATCGATTTCAATTCGAGACTTTTCGGTCACTTTGCGGTCCGTCTAAGCACGTGTAAACGAGAAGAGAAGTATGTTTTCTATTCTTTTATTAATCTTTGTGATATAATTTATGCGCTTAAAAAATCGATTATATCTATGTTGGACTTTTTTCCAGCTGAAAATAGACCATGATTTTGATGGTCTCAGAAAGTAAATCTCTCACGGAAAAATTAACCTTTATGGTGTTTAATAATAGAGAAAAAAATGAACTTCGCGATAAAAGTTTTTTGAATACGCTAGGTTCAATAGTTTTTTAGATATAAAACTTAAATATGCCTAATCATTATTGCTCCATAACAACATCGTGCATATTTTTACAATTGAAAATATGATTTTACAGAGATGTCGGAAATTAATAAAACTTCTTAAAATTTATAATTCAAGAGGCAGAGGTAGTATCGACTGATATATCATTAATAGCATAAAGTAGGATAAGATTAATAATGCAGCTTTATTTTTCAAGATAATACAACTTTTCACACTGTTTTCTCAATAAATATGTCAACTGAATTGTCGATTAATTCTATTGCACGTCGTTTGGATGTTCATAGTTCGCAATGTTTGCAAGACGCAACAAATATCGATTCCACTCGATCCCGTGCGTTACATAATAGGCTTCATCTGTGAGAAGTAGGTTTCACGCGTACGGTTCACGAGCGCGAACTTTTATTCTTTGGATGAAAAAAAATAAAAAAGGAAGGAATCAAAGAAAGATTTTTAAAAGGGAGAAACTACTTCCCACAAATATACGTTCACGTAAGCGCTGGACTTATTGCGACAGTCGTTTACAGACTTTCGATCGTCTAGCGGATCATCTAGTGGATCGCCTTCGATGGCTATTCCATATCGACGATACACGATGTCATAGGTGTGGCATAAATTCTCGTGTCGAAATGCAATTTTCTATTTGCGCATTACGAGTGCACTCAGGAACGGAAGAAAAGGTGAGATGAAATGAAAAAGCGAAAAATTACAACATTGCATCTTTTTCATCATTGGAAAATCGACGTTCACTTGGGATGTCGTATACACGCCTAACCATCGTAATCAGTGTTATTTCAACGATTTTCAACCTCACACATACAAGTATATCGTCGAGAACTACACCGTAATTATAATGTTCAGGAATGTATGACACTGTGTGTACATATTTGCGTTTGCACGATGATTTGTTCTTTTCGACTTATTTTAACTCATCCTATATCTAATGAAAAAATCTATCTTCCGAGAATTACTGCGAATCAACGTGCATGAGAGAATTAATATTCTTGGTCGGTCTTGAAATGCGACGACGCTTCGAAAGCGCTCGAATCGTGCCGCAAACGAATCTACATTCGTTTGATTGATCGATTATGAGCTCGGCGGGCATTTGAAGTGATGGTTCGAACACACGGTCGATCACCGGCGGTCGTTGACCACTCGACGGAATTCGCAGCGCGGCGCGAATCTATATCACAATTATATATTGAGTTTCTTTCCAGGCCCGGCTCGGTGCTCGGCGTCGCGAAATTTCCTTTGATTGGGAGAAAGCACAGACGTGTCGCGGCAAAACTGAACACTCGGTATCAAATATACAACTGCAAAAGCGCGCGAAAGTCGCGGATATATTCAAATATTCACTTCGCCTGGTTATTATTATGAAAACGGATACCTGTGTGCAAAGCTGCGTTAAAAAATAAAAGTGCTACCGTTGAAGAAATATTTATTTGATCCAAGTAAAATGGTTATTCCGATAACTCTTGGCAAATATTTATTATAAGTAGAAATATAATGTGTTAAATTCATAATATTGAGAAAATCAGAATTTATTTTTAGAAAATATATACTGAGGACAGAAATGTATTTCGTGTCTTTAAAATTAAATAATTTTATTTGCCTACATAACACTAAAGTTAATGTTAACATTGTTGCAACGTTGCAACAATGTTGTTGTAAGCTCCTGTGCTATGAAGGTATGTTTCTCCATTCGTGAAAATCAATGACAGTTGACACGAGCAGTTAATTAGTACACAATGGATCAGTGTGCGTGGTGTCATCGATAAATCGCTTACAGTTCAAAAACTATTGTGATGTTTTCGCATTAAGATTTTCGGATTTAATAATTAAACTAAATTCTTTAGGTCCAGGACACGCTATTGAAATATTGTACGACAGTTTCGGCGCATTTTACACATTAAATCAAATTACACCTGTCAACGGGAACACTAGGTAAGATCAAGCTATGCAATGCTAACTTGAAAGAATGCATTGTAATAAAATCGTGATAATATCGTGAAAATGACTGTGCGCAATATAGGTGTAATAATCATCCATAGGTGTAATGATCAACAATCAGTCACGAGTGTCGATTCTTAACGGACGTGATTACTTTTTTATTGGACGACAGAGTTTTTATTCTACATTTAATATAAATCTCGTACTTGAAATTATAATAGAGTCGATCGATTTAATAACCGACGCAATTTACGTGGAAAATTTCCGCGTTACAAACCGGTACAAGATGCACAGAAGAAACGAACTTTGCTAGAACAGTAAATGTTTGTTAATATAGTGGCAATAAAAGAAAATTTGTTTAGACAGTAAAACATTTGTTTGGACAGCAGAAAGATTTATTAAGAATATTAATTGCTATTTGCTAAATATATGGACAATTAATATTTTTAACAAATCTTTCTGCTGTTCAAACAAATTGTTTGCTGTCTAAACACATTTTTTTTGCTGTCTCTATATTGATAAATATTTGCTGTTCTAGCAAAATTTGTTTTCTCTATGTGCGTTCGCTATTTGTTTGATTCTATTCTGCATTTTTTAGTACGAAGCTGACGTAAAGGATCACGAAAAAAAGTAATATTTTAATTATAAGTCTCGGGAATTTTATAAGAAACTCGTATTCTGTACATATTATTATAACTACATCACACAAACGACCTTACATATACCGATATAGATATATTCCAAGAAGTTTCTTACATAAACGACAAAACAGGTCGAATTTTTACGACATCAACGACACATTTTTTAAATGTTTACTTCTTTATATAATCTGTTTATTCACAGTTGTATTTTTATGATCAGACGTTATGTATGCTTACTCGCATGTATGCATGTGTGTATAGGTAGATTAATTATTTTGTTTTTGTTAGATATTTGTAAAAAACTACAGAAATTATGCGGAATTCGTAAGAAACGTCGAATAACATATTCAAAAGTAATTCTTTGCGGCAATTTTCAGACGATACCGTATATATCTTAGAACAGTGAAGGTCCGCACAAGAATTTCTTACGTGAGAAACAAAGGCAGAGAGAAAGACAGAGAGAGAGAGAGAGAGAGAGAGTGAGAGAAAAAGAGAGAGAGAAACGAAGAGTAGAAAAAGGCTACCTGCTGGCCACTCTCTCGACCAAGTCGAGATCACCGATTCATAATAGTTTTTCGCCAGACGGAGTTTGACTCGCTCGTCCGACATATCATAAGTCAATTCACAATCCCATATAGCAAAAATGTTCAAAAGACAATGCTAAAGATGTCCCAGAGACATTCCAACATCTCTGGGACGTTTTTAGAATCTCTTTTAAACATTTGTACCGTATAGGATGTAGTATTCAAATGTTAACGACAAATTTTTGCCAGTCGAATCGCTCGTAAGTCCAAAAGCACTGAGTACAATGTTTTCGTTGAAGAAGCAGCCAATCATTCTGCGATAAAAAAGCGAAAAACGTTTATTCTAGTTTTGAAGTGTTATATTATTGATATATGACTTGTATGATATTAGTTCCAACTAATAACAAGAAAGACTCTAAGATCAAAAACTAGACGCGTCAGGTGCGTTGTGAGATACGTGCAGATGGGGAGAGAGTAAGAGCGAGAAAGAGTAACAAAGAAAGAGCGAGTGTGAGAGTTAGAGGGGGGACGGCAAGTTTGAAGTTAGAGGGGAGATCGGCAAGTCATTCTATAACAGTAGAACTTTCAGTGCGGATTACGACGGAGCTCGGCAAGTTTGGGATTACGCGCGCGATTCAGTCCCGCAACTCGCAAACGCGGAAGAGCGCGAAACGCACCGATTTCAAGTGATCCAAGAAGTTAAGTCGGGACGTGTGGAGCATCGTCAATAGGTACTCGATATTCGCATTTATCTGTATCGTCTCTATATCGTGCCGCTCTATTGTCGGTCTGGAGCAAAAGCCGATTTATATTCGATAAATTGAAGATTTTGCCGATGGACAGTAAATAATTAGCCTGTTCTTTATAGCTGAACTGGCTGTATTAATTCAAAAAATTTACATACACATTGAAGCGTATAAAGCATATATAAAAGATTCTCACACTTCATTGTGCATAATTTTCCTAAACTAATGCAGTTAGTTCAACTACAAAAACAGACCAAATCTTTTAAATTAACGCTCTTTTTTAGCTCGACTAATCGGCACTTAATTTCCATTATCTAGATATATAAATGTCAAGGATCTGGATCAGGTTTATTTTGTAGTTTCCTTGAGCAGAATTTTATTTTAGACGCAGTATTCGTCCTCAGTTGTAGTAATCTGTTTACACATGTGTTTTATCTCAACTTGAATAGTATTTTGTTTCTTAATTTGCAATTTTCTAATTCTAAGTTTTTATTTTCTATCTTAAATTTTTTTAAATTTTTAACGTTCCAATTGTAATCACGTAATTTCAATTTTATAATCTAAATTTTTAATTACTTGAACTATATCACGTCAGTATATCACATTTCCTACATTCCTTCATAAACTTAAGATAACTTAAGACAAAACGATTGTCAAATAACATTCACGACGGTCACGATATACAAATGCACTTTTCCCGCTCGACGTTTATATCTCCTCTAATAATATTAACCGCGTCTCGTTTTGATTTACCTACGTAAGTAAACGTGAGGTCGTTGTTTGACGAGTAAATCACCGTAGCACTAACCAGTACAGATTCTGATGGTATGTGACGTAATGTCCAACTGCACGAGGCTCGCATGGGTCTTGCGCGTTACGTGCGTGTACGTATATCCCGCGGTGAGCAGAACTGCGCTTTCTTCGCTCGACGAAGATGGATAGATAACTCGGGAAAACCGGAAAGCTTCGTGGCTTTTTCTCTTTTCTTTCCTTTATTTTCCTAATTGTTACGTCACGTAGCTCTGCCCATAGTCCATGAACTGTACAAATTAAACGCATCCTAAAGCGCATCGTAAACGTTGACACTGCTCGTTAACTTCGCGTTAAACTAGACACCTAACTAGAAGACGAGATGCAGGAGAGAGTTTCCTGCGAGCAGATCTTTGCGCGCGCTCGGAAAAATGTCGAGATCGGAAACCAAACAGTCGTTTCGTCGGGCTATGTTCATCGAATGTATGCCGAGTAAGAACGAGGATTCTTTAAATGCGTTACGAGCTCGAGCGGATTCGTGCCTGGGAATAGCATTACCCACGTGCCGGACGCGGCGATGTGCTATCGAAATTTCCAATCGTCCGTTGCAATGCTGGATCGCGTATAATGCTACATATACTTGTTACGCAAAGGATCATGTCGTTATAATAAGTCAGATATTAGAAGATAACGCCGTCAACCTTTCCCAAAAACGATATTCCGCCGAAAATCGTTAACGAGCGTGCTCATTCAAGATTTCTACATACCTTTCTCTGTTCTCTACCGTTAAAAATGTCATGCATGTAACAGTACTCGGATGTTGATGTTATTCTTGAGCAATTCTCGATCCGGAATACACACACAACACACGCACACAAACACACACACAACACACACAGAATGCATATTCATGCGAAATTACATATTTCAAGTTTAGTTTTGTTGCACAAGTAAATACGCCGGGCGAGCTATCGAAAATGTCACGAACCTATATTAAAATTCATTACATCTAGACGATGACATAATTGTTTTTCTGGCAAAAGTTACACGAAAGTTCATGACGAAACCAAAGTAATTCCCTTAATTAATTCGTGTAGAAACTGATTCTATCGCAACTCCGCTTTTAAATTACACGGGATTTATTTTAGCCCGTTTACTATTATGAACCTTTTATTCTTAATTACGGGAAACGTTACTACAGTTACGTGTATTCGTCCGACTCTTCTGCTGCTCAGATTGAAACGCAATGGATCGGCAGTTTTACCTAGAAGATAACGCAGTTACGGTTCATAAATATATGCATAACAATTTCATTCGCTTATCCTGTCATTTCGATTTACCTCGAGCGATTTACCTCGCGCGAGAAAAAACGATGATGTCAATATTATGATTGCTAAATACTGCGCATAATTATGTTCTTATTCACGTTTTTCAAACGTGCAACAATTCAAACGTGATCATTACGAAACAATTTTATTCTCAATGAATTGCTCGATTTTTATAAATTTCGCTGTAATTTCTCGGAAATAATTGCCGCGGAAATGTGATAAATAGTACTATGAAAGAATAATAAAATATATATATAATAATATTATGTCGTAATTCAAGACAATTATATCGATTATATCATCAAGTCTAAAATGTTCGACTATGATATTTCGATTGTGTATATTTTGTATGGCAATGCATAATCGTCGATCTTTCCAAAGTTAATTAACTTCGATAATCCACCGTCCCCGATCGCTGTTAGATTGTGCACGTAGCACAAAAAAATTGGCTTCCTTCAGTCTTATCAAGTTCGGAAAAACGCGACCGATAATATTCATTGTATTATGGGGGTATGATAAAATCTAATCGTTTCTCGGTGAAAAAAGAACGCGAAACTTATATACATAAAGAACGCGAATTGGCGGCACATTGCAGCATTGCAATGAATGGACAGAAACGTATTCAGGCCGTCCCCTGTGTTAATAGAAGTTGAAGTTATAATACCGGATAACCACAATTTTCGTAAGAGGCGAGTAGCTCCGAATGCAGATCGAGCCATACAATTTCCCGCGCCCTGTTGCATTTGATTGGACTTTCACCAATTTTCCCTTCTTGTCGTTATTCTTACGTTGCTATGTTTCAATAGTTGCAAACGTAAGCAGGACAGACGTTGTGATTTAACCAAAGCCGGCACGGTTTGCGAAACTTATCCGCCATGGCGAAAGTGTCGAGACGTTAAGCAGTGAGGGAAAGATAATTATGGCGAATTACAAATGTGTGTAACATTTCGCATAGTAGCAGGTCTTTTAGCCGGAGCCGCATTTGTGAGCGGCTCACAGATTGCAAATGAATTTGCAATCTCTCTCTTCATTCCTCTCATTCTTCTTCCAGACCGTTAGTCTGCAATATAACGCAAATTCTCCGAGCTGTAAATTCCCTGCGAATTTGCTGTAAATTCGCGTGACGTTTCAGCGCGCAACCATGGACGGCTCGAAAAGCAAAATCCAACCCTTCTACAAAGACAAGACCATTTTCATCACCGGTGCCACCGGCTTCATGGGAAAAGTCCTCTTGGAGAAGCTGCTGTATAGCTGCTCCGATCTCGACAAGATCTATATTCTCATACGACCCAAGAGAGGGAATAGCATCGATGTCCGGCTCGACAACATATTCAAGTTGCCCGTAAGACACCACGCTAATTACGCGCCACTATACCTTGGTTTCGATTCGGTGCGCTCGATGAACGTTGGGCTATTATGTTTGGTCGAGAATATTAAGACGCTTCGAAACCAACGGACGGAGATGATACGCACGAGGGGAACGCTGACGGTAGACAATCGCTGTACTATTGACTGTTTCCACAGATGTTCCATAGGATACGCCAAGAGAAAAGTCACATGATGAAGAAAATAGTGCCGCTGAACGGCGACGTAACTATGCGCAATCTGGGCCTCACCGACGAACAGCGGCAGAAACTGATCAACGAGGTGCACATAGTATTCCATTTCGCTGCGACTCTTCGGATGGAGGCGAAATTGAAAGACTCTGCCGAGTTGAACCTAGTAAGATATCAGTCGAATGAATACCCTTTCATTCTCTCCCTCTCTCTCTCTCTCTTTCTCTTCTTCTTCTTCTTCGTTTTTCTTTACTTTTTTTATTTTCCTAGTTTTGTATTAGGATCTTTTTCCTTATGTTAGAAACAAAGCGCATATAATGTCTTCATATAATGTCCCTTGTTTCTAGTATGTAGCATCTAGTTCTTATTATTCTGCCATTTCCTAACTTTTTTTTCGTATCTCTTTTATATCACATTACTTTTAGTTCCTAAGCAAATTTCTTTAAAGGTCTGCTTTTTACTTGCCTCGCCTTGACTCGCCACTAAAATGAGAACACGGTAACGTAACGTTTGTTTGCTTTTAAATTTCTCTCCTTGTGCAGTTAATATATATAAATAATTACATTGAGAAAAGTATCCGAGCATATCTAAACGGATAATCTAATAAAAAAATAACACGTGGGAATCTAACTAAAAAGTAATAAGCGGATTAATAAGCGTGTAATAACCGATTTTGTCATTTCATTCAATCACGTGCCTTTATTCCGATGAAAATTGCAAGAGGTGTAAAAATATATAATAAATACGGTAACCGTAGATTATCGGTGGCCTACGCGGCGGAAAATCACGAGAAATTGGCACTTGGCGAGATTGTTGAATATTTAGTCTGTAAATAGTGATATCAGACGGAACGGAGATAAGTTAGTGCTAAACTTAAAGTAATAAAGCTTACGTCTGAGGCTGTCGCCAACAAGCTGAGAGAGTAAACCGGAGGTCCTTGAAAACGTCGGTGGTTTGTAATAAATTCTAAGCATATTCAAAGAACTAATAATCGCGAGTGTCTTGATTAGTCAGCGAACGTCTAACATTGAGCACATACATGCGTCATTCAAAACGTTAACAATCACGCCCGTCGAACTTGGTCGTGCGGGCATTGAAGTTTTGCGAATATAATCCATCATTCGACTCAGATTCACCCTGATTTATATACGCGACCGGCCTACGCGTTGTCACCCTTAACTTTAATCCACCTTAATTATTCGGCGCTTGTTAGACAAACAATTCGACCCGTTTAAATCAATTGGTGATTTTATCTATCGTAACGGTAAGAGTATTACTTAATAATGAGTATAAAGAATTATTAACAATGACTGGACGGACAGTTGGTTCGGTTATAATATTTTCACCCGCGCGAAGCTCTATTGGATCAAGGTGATTTTTTTATAACACGTATAATATAACTAAGATTCGATCTGCACTATTCAAGTTCGGCACGAGGAGGGTGCTGGATCTAGTCAAGGAGATAAAGAACCTGCAGGTGTTCGTGCACTTGAGCACGGCCTTCTGTCACATTGACCAAGAGGAACTCGGTGAGATCACCTACGACGCTCCTCACGATCCTGACGACGTCATGAGGCTCCTTCGATGGATGGATGAAAGCGCTATAGAACTGGTTACGCCCAAGTAATTAAACTTAATTAACGATACTCACTAATAGCGACGGGTCGTCTGAGTATATTGTTTGTTATGACGGGATGAACTACGGGTATTACGACTGGTCGGTACTGATAGCACGAGAGAACATAAATACTGTCAGCATAAACTTATCAGAAATGTTAGCTTATCGAACGATTAGACTAGATTGACATATCTCGTCGTATTTGTTAGAAGTTACGCAGTTCTGTAATTTTATCATTCATCTCTGCTCCCGATCGTAGATTATTATATCCGCATCCGAATACTTACACCTACACGAAGCGTTTGGCGGAAACGCTGGTGACCAGGGAATACCCTAAACTACCTTGCGTCATCGCTAGGCCGTCGATCGGTAATTATGTGCATTTCCATGATTGCTTTTACGGAGGAAAGTAGCAGTAAATTTTATGTTGCCGTAGCAAGTAGAGATCAGTATACAGGATGTATCCTAAGTACTGCATACTGATCTATTTGCTACGATACTATACAATTTATTGTCACTTTTCTCCGTGCGAGATAGCAAATGATGAAATGAGATGATGTTATTTCTCGAGTTCGGCTTAGTAGCAGCACTTATTGCTTTACGTGTGTTATAAAATGAAATACTATACGTTGATATTTCTCTTGCTCTTCCAAATAAAGTTCACAATAAAATTAGAAATAAAACAGCAATAGAATAGAATAGAATACAACAAGGAGGGACGTACAGTTCGATTAATTTTCTTTCGTTTTTCTTGTGTCCTCGTGTAGTAACTCCTGCCGTCAATGAACCGGTACCGGGATGGGTGGACAATCTGAACGGTCCTACTGGGATACTCGTTGCTGCGGGCAAGGGTGTCCTCAGATCAATGCTTTGCAATACCCAATATCATGCTGAACTTATACCGGTTGACATAGCGATTAATTCTATAATTGCAATCAGCCACAAAGTGGCTACCGAAGAGAAGTGAGTACTCTTGTGCTGTGCGACCTCGCTCTTTCTTTTTCTTCCTTACGATAATGAAACATCGTCGCATTTGTCGAATTTTAGCATTTGTAATATTTGGGCTGCTTTTCTTTCCGCTCCCTTTCCTCCTCCTCCTCTCTCTCTCTCTCTCTCTCTCTTTCCCTCTCTTTCTCAATCTATGTTCAGATTGAAGACTATGTCTTAGAATATTTGTAAGGGATATTGTAACTCAAACAAATTCTCGACAACCCAAAGCCCATCGAATAATTTGAAAACGCGCCGTGAATTACAATTTCTCCCGTTTGATTTCTCGGCAGGCCGAAAAATATACCAGTGTTCAATATAACACAGAGCGGCGTAATTCCGATAACGTGGGGTGAAATATTGAAATTGGGCAGGAGTATTATTTATCAGTATCCTTTCGAAGGACAGGTTTGGTATCCGGACGGCGATGCGCGAAATAACAAATATATACATGGTCTCATGGCTTTTTTCTTCCACATCATCCCCGCGTACCTGATCGACTTCCTGATGCTGATATTTCGACAGAAAAGATTGTGAGTATCGCACGTTTCGTGGCTCGATGTGTGTCTATATATTGATGTTTGTAAGTACCTAACGACGCAACATATTGTAATCGTTATTTTTCTCTTTTCTTTGTCGCTTGTCCCAAACAGTATGGTGAAAATCCAGAAACGAATTGCAGACGGCCTCGAAGTACTACAATATTTTACCATGAAGAATTGGATATTTTACAGTAAGAAACTATTGATGATGCGCGACGAAATGTCACCGGAGGACCAACGGTTATTCCCAATAAGTTTTAAATTATTAGACTTAACTGAATATATGAAAGTTATTATCCTCGGCACACGGCAGTATTGTATGAAAGAGGATTTGTCTACTTTGCCGAAAGCTCGTCGGCACCAGGCAATGTGAGTATTCTTTATTTACATTATATTTTTCTGCATATACTTATAATTAAAAAAACAAGTTATGATCTCGCGAACTTCATTCGGCTGCCTTTTCAAGATTCTCAAAAAGTCTAGTGATGTTCTAATAAGCGGAAGTGTTTCGATAAGCGGAAAAGATAGGTCAAATATTCAATATTGTTTGCATTCTTGAAGAACGACAGTTGTGCATTCTTAAACGACTTAAACGACACTGTGCGTTCTCGCGAAGTGAAATATTTAACGCTTTCACTATCAGGATAGATTTGGAAGGATCTCCCCACTCACCATCTTGTATTTTATTTTTTCACGTAATTTTTTCACGTAATTGTATAAAATAGACTTAATTTGATAATATAGTCATAGAAAAAACAATGTTTGCTATCACGTATATGTGAAACTGATGGTGAACATGTTAATTGTGTAACGGAAAGGAAAGTCCACGAGAGAAATCTAATGTTGTTTAAACTCTTTACACCTTCTTCTCTAACGTCGTAGACATACTTTTGCAACATTGGACTTTGCTGCTCGAGTTATCACGAGCTTTTGCGTAATCATGAGTTTTAATGGTCTTTAATCCGCTGTTTAAAGAAACTTGCGCGACCGTAATCTAAATGCGTAAATTACGTGTTTTCTTACGTAATTTTTTCACGTATTTGTAAAATAGACTTAGGGAAAATGAATGCAATCGAGTCGACCTGAACTTGAACTTTCTTGCTGCGGCATCTTTACCGGAAATCGTTAAATACGTGACGATACTCCTATGTCAGTCATTGTATATCGGTGTTCACTGCGTACTGCTAAATGATGCGACTTTTTGTTACGTCGTTCGGTATCAAGGCCCCTGGCCGAATATGTGCAGCTCTCGCAAGTGAAATACCGGTTTTTGAGAACGTTTGTGTACGGTTACCGCAGCGAGAGGGTTAAGCTCGGCTTTTCCAGCTTTTCTTTAAGTGCACACCGGACTTTCGTGACGTGCATTCATTTCAGAATGTACATTATCCACAACCTCACGATATTCCTCTTCTACTTCGGCATATTGTACTTCATCTACAAGAACTTTGAGATGGCGAGGTATGGCATGGACTTCGCTACCCAGCAGATAAAGTCGTTGTCGGTCGTAGGCAGCGTCGTGAAGAACGTGGAACTCTGATACTGTTTATAGAAGTTCGATTTCTGCCAGTACACAGACCGGATGTAACAACCTTAACACACGAAGTTGTGCCTTTCTGGAGCTCACGATGTATTTCTCACGCGCTTTGAAACGGTACAGCTTTATGCGTTAACATTACTACGCCCGGCTGTGTCCACCTAAGCCAGTATTCATAGTCAGATCTTATATTTAAGATCGTCTTAAGTTCATCTTCAGATGTCCCGTAGCCAATGAAGTAAGAGTCGTACAGCATTTGAAGATGAACTTAAAACGATTTTAAATTTAAGATCCATCTATGAATACCGACCTAAGTTCCAAAACGGTGCTTTTCTTGATCGGGGTTGTTCGCATTATTTCCTAAAGATGCGTAAAGACGCCTACGTACGACGATTGATATATTAAATTGATAAATCCAAGCTAATGCAGACCAACCGTTTTTAGGAGCGCGACGCTCGCTCCGATCGAAGGCCGCGGTATGTGGAGAAATTGTTTGCGGAGATCTTATCTCAAGTCGAAGCTCGAAAGTAGATTTGCATACCGACGACACGTAGACCGCGTTCCTCTCCCCGTGTGTCGAGTTCGATTTCCGCCAGTATACAGACCAGATCTAACAACCTTAACACACCAAGTTGTGCCTTTTTGGAGCTCACGATGTATTTCTCACGCGCTTCCAAGCGAGATCCATCTATGAACACCGACCTAAGTTCCAAAACGGTCTGAACACTTGTTTTGGAACGCAACCGATCCAATGAGAGAACTTGCTTCTCGAAAACGTCGTTGACCATTGTTCGCATTGCAAACTGCGTCGAGAAAGAATTGTTCGAATTCTTGAAACCCAATATACATGTACGTATGCGTAATTTGCGGAGTGTAATTTGTATATTTGTACGTATTCGTGCAACGCGACGCACAAACGAGGAGCAACTAAAGACGATCCGCCGACATAATGCGACTCCGTTGACGAATGTGAGCTCCAAAAAGGCACAACTTCGTGTGTTAAGGTTGTTACATCTGTATACTGGCGGAAATCGAACTCGACACACGGGGAGGGGAACGCGGTCTACGTGTCGTCGGTATGCTTCACTTTCGAGCTTCGACTTGAGATTAGGTCTCCGCAAACAATTTCTCCACGCACCGCGGTCTTCGATCGGAGCGAGCGTTCCTAAAAACGGATGGTCTGCGTTAGCTTTAATTTACCAATTTAATATATCAATCGTCGTACGTAGGCGTCTTTACGCATCTTTAAAAAATGATGCGAACGACCCCGATCAAGAAAAACACGGTGCGAGGTACGCGTGTACGAACTTTGACGATCGTAGAGATGGAGATTATTGGTGTATTGTTATATGGTTCTGATAAATCTAATGTATAGTATATAATATATAGTATAATATAAACATGTTGACTGGAATAAAGGTATATGTGTACATACAAGCTCACGTTTACTACGTTTATTACGCCTTGATACCGACTCCAAATCGCAAGACTGTATTCGAAGCCGTTAGGGATATCGTGCGATCGATCGTGTACGCTCTCGCCGTCCTTCGTTTCGACTATTTGAAATAAAGAAGCTTTCGTTTCAACGATGTTCCTGCACGCTACATTCGAAATTATAGCCGCGAGCTTGCTCGAGGCCGATGTGTTCACGGGCGTCAAACAATTTATCCGTCCTTCGCGTTGCGAACCCTTCGCAGCGTCGTAAAGCATTTCTATATCAAATCTCACGCCGTTTCTCGCGAGAGATAGTGAAAACATGTTCGTATCAAGCACAGCACGATAAAAAGAGCCATCGCGTCTCCTTTATGGTCCAACGTTCCCGGATGGATATATTTTTGTCCTCTCGAACGTTTCAGCACTTCTCACTGGAACGCACTTTCGACATTGTTTCCTCATAGCTTGATTTATTACGCGTATGCGAGAAAAATCAGGAGAAACAGGGCGCTCATTATGGAACTGTTCGGGAACGATTTCCTATCAGAATCGTTCAATTATTCTCTAGAAAGTGTAATATGAATCTAAAGAATAATTGAGCGATTCTGATTGGAAACCTTTCCGAATAGCTCTTTGATAGGTGCTCAGGAAGGAAAGCAAACAAATAACGCACACATCGGGGTTAACTGGGGGAAATCTGAAATCCGCTCCAACGTCCTGTAAGTATGTACGTATGTGTGTGTGTGAGAAAGGGAGAGAGGGAGCGTGATAGTCTGAATGACGAGGGAGTTGAAGGCTGCGGCAGATTTTCGACAGACGGTGGTGCGACGATCGGGACACGACGAGGCTGGATTCTGTTCTGTATCACGATCCAAGAGTTCATCCAATTTCCCGGCTAAGACTTTTCGCTGCTGGACCCCAATCGAATGCCCCTTTCAGGGCGCAAAAAGGTCTCGCCTCGATTATTGCGCGCATATTGCACAACCCTCCCTCCGCATATATATATTCGTAGATCCTATATAACCGTGCCGTGAAATTATGAGGCCGGAATAAATATTGATAAACTGTGGTATCCTTGGAGCAGCGGGAAGCCGGTGATCAACGATCGCAGCTTATGCCGAATTCGACGTTGGCGTTGGTTCAGGCGACGTTGTACGCGAACTTTGTTGTTGGATATCCCGGCCTTTGTGGTTGGTACAATAATAATAATAATAATAGTAATAAATGACCTTATTCTGTGCAGTAAGCTAATGATATTTGTGCGTAGTACAATTCACGGTGGGAAAAACACGAAGCGTGAATCATTAATTTAGTCGAAAATGTATTTGTACACAGGATGTACCATCTTTTACGCGCAACTTCGGATTCCTTGGAACATTTTGAAACGGAAATCCCAATCTGAGGATGTCGAGGTTGTCGACGGTCGATTCGAAATTTGTCCCTTTGATTTTACACGATGAAATTTGCGCGATCTTAAGATTCGATTCTTTTTACTCAATATTCTTCAGTGTACATACAATGTATATACTCACACATTGTGTCTCTATATATTAATATAAAAGTGTTCGCATTAATTATAAAAATTACGCACGTACGTCATGAAAATAAGTCACTTTCTGTTTCAATAAATTTCAATAAATGTATGTGATGTCATATGAAATGTTATTTTTGTAAAAATATCAGCGGAATATTCTCACGAAACCATAATAATAAATTATGTTTACTTAAATCTAAGCGCCCGGACATGAGGGAATCTGTCTCGGAGCGTTGAAAAAATTATGTTCCAATAATAACAAATAAGTATCAGTATGCACGCCTGGTATATTTCTTTATTATAAGCGAGACTTTGTGACGTATATGAAATTAGTAGTGAAGCTTTAACAGAAGCGTCACGTTACAACTCGCTTTTAATTCATCACCTAAGGATCTACTGCTCGCGTAATGGTTTTGCCGGTGTGATATTATTCGTACATGCGATCCATTTATTTAAACAACAACAGAGACGAATATATTATTATATATGTTACTACTGTGCTCTGCGCAATATCTAAACGAACTTTGGTCACAATGGTCCAACTCGAATAGTTTATTATGTAAAACATTGTCACAGCCTTGACATTTTTGTACCAGGATTTCCAGTTTAAAATTATTCAAGTAAACCGGATGAAATTTTAAATATTACGCACGAAGTACCTTTTTATATAAATAAATCTGCTTAGTTGCGATTCTTATGCGTAATCCTTGTGCGAAATGGTCCCGACACGCATTAAAGCATCGGCTTATGATTCTGCCATCTTGCTTAGCGACCGTGACGAAAGTTCGCGTTTTAAACATATAATTACATAATATAATATATGTATAATAATTACATATAATAATACATAATTACATATATAGGTCGGCCAGAAATTCAAACGGAACGAGATTAAGCGTTACAACGCGGCGGGACGGAAAGAGTGAAGCAACAGTTGCTAGTTCTTCGTAATATAGAGGGATGGCGCTGAGAAATCCCAGCCCACCCTCCATCCCCCCTCCGTGCCATTATTGATCCACCCCGCGCGCTCCGTTCTGAAGCCCACGGCAGCAGCTGCTCCGCACGGCGAGATCTCGTCCTTCTGCCCCGATCTCACTCCATCCCGATCGTGAAGCGCGATTAAAATTGCATCTGGCGTTACGTAGACGCGGATCGTGAGCGTGCTCTGCTTCCTGGCAATTTTATATCGCGTCCATCAAGCGGCCGCGATCGCTCGCGTCAATTTCCAGCCGGAGGAGGAGAACTCTTCGCGGCGGCGAAGATCGCCCCGCCGGGATTTCGGCCGTGCGATATCTCGTGCGGAATGTTGACGTGACCTCGCGGATTCTCTTATCGCCGAGTCGTGTGAACGGAAGCGCCTCGGAAGGAAATCGAGGGGACGCCGGCGTCGCGTGCGCGTTACGTACAAGCGCGGCCGTAATTGGGTACGCGTGATAAATGTAACAGGTTATTCCGAGAAGAATTATGGAGTTGCAATTAGGAGCTCGTGACGACGCAGGGCCGGTTGTTACATGTAAGGTTCGTTTAGCTCTGGAAAAACGAGCGGAGGAAAGCGCGAGTTCTAATTGGTCGACTCCCTGGGTACGTTTGTCAGCTTAGAAAGATGTCTCGGGTGTCTTTGCGACGTTTCTTAGACTTAGATCGTGTTAGCCGAAGGTAAAGTCCGGGAATGTTCAATGCTGCGGAAATTGAAGAGCGCAATATCGAGAGTCGATTTGTGAGAGATTCTCCACAGCCTCGGAATATTTCAGAAGGACCTCAAATTCCAGGCCTATGAAAATTTGAAGCACCTGAGGGCCACCACGGAAAGTTATGACCCGGAGGATTACGAATGCGAGATAAACTACAATAACGCGCTTCGTCTGTAACGAGATTGAAGCGGGATGAATTATGCGCGTAAAACGGGACGTCGGGAGTAGTCGGGCGGAATAAAAATGGTAATAGCGCGACTCGATTATCTGAATCAGAGTTACGCGCAGCTGCACTTTACACCTTTAACATTCGGGGCAAGTTGAATAATTCCAATATTTCGCGATCACGGTCGCGTGAGCTGGAAATCCTGTTACCGTCTTTAACAACCTTGGACAACCAGAACAATTTTCGTTTGCCATTCTATTCAGTTTTGCATACGTAATCGGTGATTTCCGAATTTTCACCGTCACGGTGAATTATCGGACGCTACAGTTTGCTCTGGTAATTGCTGAAAAAAATACTCAGATAGCATTTGAATCGCGTGGCACACGCGAACGGTGCTGTTCCGAGCGTGACTGAAATTTCGCCGGACGAAAGATACGCCGGAAGAGAGGGCGACTACGGGTGAAGGTAAAGGAGGAAAAGAGAGGAAGTAAGGCGTCTGTGATTATAGGAGCGCGAACAGGAATAATTCCATTGATACCGATTCATCAATCTTGACAGATATACCTGTGCGACACTCTCCGGGTAAGCACGATATCCGCGTCGGTTCGTCGTCTCCCTTGCCTCTTCGTAATCTGTCTTATATTAACTTATCCAATATCTATCCGTTCACGGGCTGTCCCCACCCTTCACTACAGACTCGATCGTGTCGACCGGACTGACCTCTCACATTTGTCACTCTGTTGTGGACTCGGAACGGACGGAACACAGATCTTCAATAATAAAGTGAAGCTTGAGATTCTGTTCCACCGGATGTAAGTAATCGTAACGTATTATCTCACGTACTGTTGCGAGGCTCGAGCAAGCGGTGCCGCCGTAATTAAATCAACAATCAACAGAGGAAGAAAGAGAGAGAGGGAGAGAGGATATCGTATGGAGAGCTTAACGATCCTGGACCCTTCTTCATTGTTTTATCAGGCACTCCTCTGCCCTTTCTCCTTTTACACGTTAATCCTCTATTCTTCGCGCGTCGCGTCATAAACTCGCGTGCTCATTCCCGTGTGATGTTTATATTTCTGATGAAAATGTCATGTACAGTCAGCATGAAGGGCTTTTAGAGCGCCCTTCTCGCCGCTTGCGTGAAAAGGAACGTTGCGCATTCCCGATTTTGGAAATCAGATCCCCACCGACTGGTTTGCATCTATTAAAGTCACAGTTCCGAATTCATGCGGTATTTCAATGATATAGAATGCGGGGTTGAAATTTGTATATTCAGACGTACTTTATATTACGACGAATATCTTGTTTCAAAGAACACGTCCGTACATCCATATACCCCGTAGTTGCTTCTTCCTACAAATTATCCAATATCTCATTTCGCATTTTAGATGCTAAAACGGGAACGTATCTCAAATACAATTCAGAAACACTCAAAAGACACTATTGATTTCTGACGTTTTTAATGTCGCGTTTCTCCTTCAAATTCATATAAGTGTCTTTGAAATCGCCGTATTATTCGAATTCCCCGTTTCCCTACGTAATAATAATCCTCCCCTTATCTCCGTTAGCTCTTTGTTCTCAACCAAGCGCGTCTCGAACTTACTTGTTCATCGTTTTAATCTTCCCGATCTCCCTAAGCGTGTCGCGCTAAGTCTGGAAATTCAGAAGGACAGGTGCTTCGCGTATCTCTCGCTCAATTAATTATTCTGGCTCGAAAGATCGAGAAATTTGGATTAAAAGGTCTTTTTAACATCTAAAGTCTTTGGAGAAAATACATTCCCAAAGTGTTTCGGCAAAATTCAACGGTTTCATGAAGTTACGTGAGGAAGAAGCGAGTAGTACAGAATAGCAATCGTGTGATTTTCTCTTAGGAGCGGAAAACCAGAAATTTCACGTCAACTCGATTTCAGCGATCATGTTAATTTCGAAAAATGAGAACGTGGAACTTTGTATGTGAAACTTTTCACTTTTTACGTGTTCGCTCCTGGGAAAGAGTTATACGATCGCTACCCAGGTCAAAATCAGAGCGCACGATCTATCACGCTCGGTATTAGCGGTCTCATGTTTCAAACAGAAAAAGAAGAAGAATTCTAACACAGACGATATTTTATTCATAATATATGATTCACGACCAGAATACATGTTTAAAGTTCGTTCATGAGAGAAGGCCTGAAGGCCGGTACGTTTCCGATGATTCAATCCGCCGTGGTACGTTGAAGAGCGTTTATCGTTGCCCCGCTGCAATTTCGAACAATGTCGCTGAACCGAAAAACAAGGCGCGGACGGAGCGGTCGGCCGGGGACGAAATTTATGGGAAGGCGAAGAAAGAGAAAAACCGACGGGGTTTCGTGGGGATGAGTACACGAGTGAAAACGAGACGGCTCGACCCCGCGACACGAGCACGAGGACCCGTACAACGTCATCTATTAATGACTCTCGCGCGTACGCGTAATGTGACGGTTCCAGCGGGTGATAGCGAACGCTGGTCGCCGCGGCAGAGGCGCGTGCGTCGACTCCCTCGGTGCGCTGGGGGTTGTTCGAGGCGCGAACTCTCGGTGGTAGTCGATGGATAGCCTCTCTGGAAAGCAGGATCGCGCTCACCCATGCGACGCCGACACGGTCGCGCTTCTCCGCCAAGAACTGACTGAAACTCAAGACGTCCTCTCGCAGTCACACGATTCAGGGCTTGTTCCGCTTCCACCTTGACCTCGTCAATTCCTCCAGGCGTCGACCCGGTTCGATAACGCGCCCAGGACGACCACCAAGAGAGGCGATACCGCGGACCGCGTTATCGGCGTATTCACTCCCCGTCCCGCCAGTTGACTCGCTTGATCGCAGGACTCGCGACTGTCGGCGAATATGAATGGCGCGAAAACGGCACCGATGAATGGTGTTGTTGCGACCGGTACCGTCGACTGCACGAGAACTCGCGTCATCGTCGAGGACTAGACAAGGATCCGATCCCGTTCATCCGGATTCCCGATCACCGGAGCCGCGGCGCGACTGAAGAACACCGAGGATGTCGCTCGTGGTTATCCTCAAGAACTTCCAGGGCTTTAAGGGTAAGGGCGAGAAGGTCGCGAGGATCGAATTTCGAGGTAAGGTCAAAGCTCACGTTTATTAATTCCTAGATATATACGGGAGAAATGAAATTTTTCGTTAGCGAGCTACGCGCTTGGAACAGTTTCGCGTGTATATGTGTAAACTCAATATTTGATTTGAGGTTGCGAAACAAACGAATCAAATAAATAGAAAACAAAACGTAAGGCGGAATAACACGAATAGAGAGAGAGAGAGAGAGAGAGAGAGAGAGAGAGAAAATGGATAGAATAAAATAGAATAAAATAGAAACGGCCGTTTGGAAAATTCGGTAGATCGTGTCTTTTATATGGAGAAGCTCCGAACTGGCGGAATTCCTTTTCGTGAAAATAAAATGGAGAAACCATCGACAACCCAGATATAGGACAGAGATATGTCGGGCTCTTATCCAACTGGCGTAATAATTTCACTCTTTGACGTATTAATGCGTCACGCATACATTTGTCGGCTGTCGCTTTCAGCATCGTCGTTTTTACTACTGTCGCTTTTGTTCGCCAAATATACTCTCGATATCGCCCGTTCATCGTTGCGAATTCCGTTAATGCCCGCTCGCCACGTGCTCAGATACACTGTTTTGCGCGTACACGTCCTTTGTCCACGGCCATAGAACATTATACCCGACGATTAATCGCGAATTATTCAGCGCACGGCAGACTCGTGAGCGAACGATGCTCCGGGTTAATTTGTCCAATTTTCGGGTTAACTGATTGTAGATGCGCGTGACGTTGCAGATCGATGAGTGTCCGATATCGGGAGACTGGCGATTGAGATTCTTCATTAATTGGCTGACGGAGCCAATCAACAATTAATCGTGAGAGAGCAGTACGTAAAATCCGGCGAATCAATCGTAGCGCAAAAGCTTCCAAATACGCTACGCGTTACCGTGTGCATCGATTTGCGATTATTGTTTGCGCAGGCATATATTGTGCGCTTCATTTCCGTATCGGTGGCATTTGGGAAATAAAGCTCTCTCTCTCTCTCTCTCTCTCTCTGGTTGGGAATAAAGTCCATTCGTAGGGAATCTATTTACAGGGAAGAGGCAAAACTCCTGAGGGGAAAATAAATGAGGTTGTTTGTTTGGTTTTATTAAAAATTGCGGAAAATAATACTGTCCGATGCGTTCGATTCATTACACAGTGTTTGCGTCATATTTATTTATCGTTTCAATTACAATCAATGTATGTTGAGACGCTTTTAATTATTAAATGACACATATATAATTGATATTCGAAACATCCACTGTGATGTTAATGTGCTACGTTAATGTGAGAGTCGGGGGAAGGGTAAAAGAAAGAGAAAGAGAGAAAAAAAGAAAAGCATCTTTGAGACCCCCCAAATTCTTCACGTCCTTCTCAAGAACTGCCTCTAGGTGTTTCGATTTGTTTCTCAATATTATCTCGGTACCGTCTCGCAGTGTTGTATTGTCGCGTTGGTGTGCGTGCGTGCGTGCGTGCGTGTGTGTGACACCAAAGAGAATTCAGATGAGACCAGTGAAACGCATGCCGCGGGGTCTAAGTGCTATAGAGAGCAACGTTTCATTTAATAATATCTGCCCCAGTTCGGGCATGAAGGTTCATGCCGAACCTGCCTGAGAAAGAAGCTGTAAACGACAGTTTGCACGCTGAGCGTACCTGTCGGCATGAAAAGTGGGAGCGAATGAGACAAAGTGAGAAAGAGATAGATAGAGAAAGAGAGGGAGAGAGAAACAGAAGAACCAACGGACACTCCGTGCGTATTTAAAGACTCTTACGGTGCTTGCATAAGGAAAGATGGAATTGTGGGTGTTGCATTTTGCAACAAAGTTACCGCTCGCCTCTTGTAATTCGCTTAATACATGGCGTATTCTTCGCAAAATGATAATGTCGGTTTACGTGCATTCTTAATGGTCATTAGAATTACGAACGTACAGAATGGTAATCGCGTGGACACCAGCGCAGGACGCAAATCGCGAGTATTGTATGCGACCCTAATGCGCGGTGAATTAGCGTGGTGAACGCGAAAGCCGGGGAACGCTGAAATTTTCAACCGGAATGAACATCTCCGCTTAGTCTCCGTGCGATGTTTGTCCTCTCTTCTTTCCGAAATTAATACGTTGATTACCGCGGGGGTCACCAATGACCAGCCGATGATCTTTACGATAGAGCCAAATGAGAGTGTCACCGAGGTGACCCCCTTCACCTCGCACGTTGGAATACACCAGGATTGGGAAGTAACGCATTATTTGTAACACTATTATTACCAACTTGGTAATGACGTTATTTTTTTTCTTCATTAGTAATGGTCACGGTAACGCGATTGAACTTTTTGAGTGACTGTGGCGAACTTAACCGTTATTCTGTACATGTCGGATACACGGATGGTATGATAATATATTTTACTTACGGTAGCAGTAATTAAAACAGTAATTGAAACGTAAAAGATCATAAATTAATTATTAAAGTACTTTGAAGAGCGTTAACATTATCGGCCGTTTACAATCGATGCAGAAATTGAATGATTTTATAAATGCAACTTCATAAAAATATGTAACATATTGCGCATCGCAGATACATATGCACACCTACGAGACTCACGTCAGAATAATTATCAATTGTATATTAATTATGAATTATTAGTATTAAAATTAATATTGTGATATGAGGTAAATTTGATATTTTATCAAATGGTTAAAAATTATTATTATTGTCAGCACTTTTAATTATCCACAGATCTATTTGATATCATAACAATTTATTCAAATTTTAATAGTAAATTTTAATAGTGCAAATTTTAATAGTATCTTCTCCTGTCAATGTTTTGCTTTTAATATATTTGAGGAGGATCTTAACGTACAGCGAACTTTTTCAATCATGCCAATTCCCACAAGACTAAACGTCTTTAATAGCACTTCGTCAATGTTAATGTACGCGACTCGTATTCGGATTTTCTCGATTCGAAATTTTCGAATTATTCGAATTTGAATATAGTTCGCGCATCTCTACAACAATATTTTCTTCCTCATTGGTATAAATTAGATAACGGTAACAAAATCATAACGAAAGTTTAAAATTGCAATTTTCGATAACGATAACGACTGTAATTGTTACTTTGCACGTATGGAATATGCATAGGTAAGATGAGCGACGGTGGTCGTAAAGAAGGGTCCTCAAAACTTGACGAAAGAAGTAGCAGGAAATTCGTAACGACTCGTTACTTCTTGAGTAACGAACACCGTAACGAGTTATTTTTCAAAATGATTAATGATAGCGGTAATACTTGTATAAAGTAACTCCGCCAACTCTGGACGACAACATAATCTCCTTCAACTTTTATACGCAATACTCTGTCGTAATAAACATCGTATACCTGCGGCAATAAAATTTCCATCGTGACATGATCAGTAAGTCACAGGAGACTCGCGGTCAACGCGTTAACGATCAATGCTCGTTTATAAATGCATTCTGTGCACAGGAGCCTTTGATAAGACTTTCCGTTATATTAATATAACGTACTGTGCGAAACCGACACTTTAGTTCGCACTTTCGTTAGCGCAATATCGTACGTTACATCGCGCATCAAAATGAATATAATGTGCGATGAATATTGAACTTATTCAAATGGATTCGTGAGCGGATTCGATAATGCCCGGTTCCTCTTTGACGCCGGTTGCGGGGCATAACAGATGGCAAGCGAAAGAAACGACGATTCAAGTTCATTTCACATACCATTGCAGACGCGTCGCGCATCTCGCATTACCCTTTCGTTTCGTCATTCCCGTCTCGTAATCCGGGGAATAAACGCCGGCTCGTTTGTCATTTTACTGACATTTCGTATGTAACGGCGCCGTTTATGCGTATATATACGTGGGTCGCACGTGTACACGAAGAAGTAATTAATCCGCGACCGATCATTTCACGGCGTAATGAACACCGCAAAATTGTTGTGCGTTTTCGCCCCCTTACATATCTGCCACTAATTAGTAATAATTACTCGTCCCGCCGAGTATACGCGCGAGATATACGCGCCGGCCGCCGAGGCCGTTATAAATAGAAAATTTGCATTTCCCATCGTGTCGTTAGTGACAATAGCGCGCGGATGATGGCACAACTTTCCGCACGCGCATTGTGCGGCCGTAACTACAACACGAGATCATTAGGGGACAATTCGGTGGGTGGATGTGGACGTACACATACACACGCGCGCACACCAGCCGTTTGCGCGAAGCCTCCCGTAAGGGCCTTAGCAGAATGGCTGACCTATAATTTTAAAATTATGTTTTACGCCCTAAATTTTTGCTTAAATGATCATTTTTTTACTTTTCTTTTTTTCCTTAATTTATAACGGTTATATTAGTAAAAATGTAAGTGTAAACACTTGATACACAAGCTGGCGCTAGTTGTTTGGCGTTTACTAGCGGTTGCGGTCGCCAGGAAATCAAATGTTAAAATATCTTATCTTTTAGCGATACTGGCGCCAGAATCATTTACTGCGTAGTTATAATAAAGAGTCCTGAGATTGTATCACAGAACCTTATACTGTATAAACACTTGTGAGCTCGTCAGTTTAATGGCAATGGTTTCTAACGTCGATCGATTGGCACCACTAATCATTGCTTGTGTAAACAGGGTGCTTACTTAAGGCGGAGACTTAAAGATATAACACGTTGCCATGAACCGATAAGACAGCCATTTTGCTGGGGCCTCAAATTTGCACGGTGATCGTCATACAATCAAATTTGACTTCGAGAGAAAGAGAGAGAGAGAATACTCGATGACCGTTAGCATGGAAAAAATCAGCTATATTCACTGTCAAGCAAAAATTTCAAAAGAAAAACTTCGATAATGAATCGATATCCGTGCTCGTTCGTTATGCAAACAGAATGAAATATTACATTCCCGCGGCTGAATAGCTCTTTTTCTTTTTTCTTTCCTATTTTCTGCGGAAGTTATTCTGCTATACGTCTGCGTAATATCGCAGCACATGCGAGTTTTTGCCGCTCGCCCTCACCCAAGGAAGTACGTCTCTCAATGTAACTTGCTTGAATCGCCGATACAAACCCGCTGGCGTATTTCTTGTCGCCGTTTTTGCATAAAATCATGCATAACCCCCGTGCGACCAAGTTAATGACGACAATGAATTTATAATAATCGCGATAAGAAAATCGCGTTCTTTAATCACGCCAGATTGTATATAGGATATCGCGGAACCCGCCGACTTTAATCATACCGAGAGGTTTTTTCTTAACGATTGTGTGGCAATTTTTCTCTTGCGAAAATCTCCGGGGAGGTCGTCACGTACTACGCCGACTTTTCAATTTCCTACATAATGCAAAGTAAAGCCCTAAATTGAAATTCTGTTAAAGTGAAATCCACTTGAAATTGATCGGAGGAAATATATTTTTTTATTTTATATATATGCTGTATCTTGTTACATTTTATTTCACATTATTTTTGATCCTCCGAAGTTTAGTTCGCAAAAAGCAACGCTTTCTTCAACGTAACTGCCGAAACCTCGACGCTTTGGCTGATGACAAATTGCCTCTAATTCCCTCGGACCTTGCTTTAACTTCTCTGTAAAATTCAAGTTCCGGCGCACTCTATGCTCGATAGCGTTGTTGATCTATGATCGACATTAGCGTCACATCAAAATTATTCCGTTGTTTAACATCGCGTTTCGAACAGCTCTTTGCACAATTTTATTCCAGCACCGAGATGAATCGAGGACGATTCGGTAAACGACTAAATGTTTTCGATGACGGATCGTGAAACAATCGCGACACAGTTACATTCGATGACATTGCCGATACGGCGGCATATTAATTATATTATTACTTTGCGTTAATTATTAGCACACATTCACGGCTGCTGATGTAAATATTATACTCACTGTATTACGCGAGCGCCCGCGAATGCGTCCAAATAATTAACATTAATATCGAATATAGATGTTTTTCCTTGATAATAACCAATGCCAACCAATGCAACATTTTACCAACGTTGCTCGATATCCCGCCGGGCCTTTGTCGCTCGATTTATTTCTCACGCAGGCGATTTTCATCCTCCAGGAAATCTTTTTCGCCGAATGCATTGAAACATTTTAACGCGACTCGCGCGTACATGTCACTGTATTAGCTAATTTCCTATGCGTCTCGCATACTCGACGCTATTCGTCGCACCTGTTTCTTGCGCCTGTTCCGGAGAACCTGTGACGTCCGTTCTGGAAAAATGTCAACAATAGGAAAAAAGTTGCGCAGGTTGGGTGGAAGAGGAAGGAAGGACGTTGCGCAAGAGAGACACTGTGTCACTGACAGGTTTCATCGCGCGTCAACAGCAACGAGATAGCGTTCGCATCCACGTGGCCGGCTGACCATAGAGCGCCTTATCTACTTGCGCGCGGAACTTTCTATCGTTGCGGCTGCTTTCCTGCCGCCGGCCGACCGATAACAATTTCGTTATCTCGCGGTTAAGCTGCGGTTTTATGTGCACACGAAAACACGCACACATATATACACACAGCCTCGAGCGAGACGTGTCGCTCCAAGGTGCTTGCCGACTTCTCGTGTGCGATAAACGCGCCGCGCCAGAAGTCGCGCGGATTTTCGCGACGGATAAATAACCGAGTTAAAGAGCAGCGCGCTTGTGGTGCTCTTCCGGCGCCGGCTTTTACCGCTGCTCGCCCGTTCTCTCGCGAGAAGGAAAGCGTGATATGCGCTTATCTGCTCGGGAGAGATTTGAGAGAAGTGTGTCAGGAAGTCGCTCACTGTAAACAGGATTATTTTTACCGCGTCCGTCCGAGCGTTCGTCAATTATCTTGTGGTTGAACTTTAGCTCGCGCAGTCGAGCGCGCCGCCCGCAGGTGCTCGGTCTTTTGCGTACGCTGCAAGCAGGTAAATCGCGGATCATCTCGCGAGTTTCCACGATACGAGGATTACTGAAAGATGTCCGCCCACAACGGGCGCACTGAAACCGAGAGCGTTTTTTTACGTCGGTCCTTTATTTCTCCCATTTTAATCGTAATTCCAAGCCGGATACGGCGAAGGCGTGACAACCGATTCACAGCGGATTTGTTTTTCCGAATTGTTACGAAACGCTGGTAAAGCGAGTTATTTTTATCCGGTTAATTCCTGTGTCTGTCGCGCAATTTAATTGCATTGCTACCTCCGCGAGAACGAGCGAGCGAGAGAGAGAGAGAGAGAGAGAGAGAGACAGCTGTCTAATGCATGAACAATTAATTGGGAGATTCAAAAAACAAAATTTCCTAACTTGTCAAATGAAAAACCAGAAAATGTATTTTATTTATAGTGGAGAATATTAATTGATAATCAATGAGAGTGAACGATACAAAATCGATTTCGACTCACTACTAGACCCCGTTCTAAAATTATTCAAAGAAAGTTTTCCAGTTAATAAAACCTTGATAAAAGATACTTACCCGTATTATAAACTCTTTTTTATCGATAAAAGTTCCTTAAATATGGCTTCTCAGCCAATCAAATAGTTTCTAACTTTCTCACACTTTTTATTTTTAAAGGTAATTTTATTAATAAAAGAGAGTTCAGAATACGGGCCATTGTCAGTATATTATATGCATAGACACGTAGATATAAGACAAAGAAAATATCGTTGTTTTGATTTAGATTCAAGAAAGGAAGAGCAGATACGCAATTTAATTAGGAAGGACACTAAGATCTAGAGATAGAAATAAATGAGTTAATAAATAATTTGTTGAAAAACTTCAAGCTTAATTTTGTTGATTTTCCGTTGATTTTTGCTACTTTTGAACTATCCCAACTCTAGCTGGTCTACAAAATTTAGTATGCTATTTATTTAGCGTAAAATAAAGGTACTTGGTGCACTAATCACCTCGGCGGAATCCCTGCGTAATCCTGCACGACGTTCTACAGCCCGACTCAATATATTCGCTTTCTACGCCCAGTGAAATTCTAATAGTCACGCTTGTGACGCAAACCAGCGAAATATGATTTTAATTTGCTCCGGAGTGCCGTCATTATCCGGTGAACTTGCAATGAGTTCGCAAATCAAATGAAAATTGTTGCGCGTCGCAGAAACGAGACTCGTAAGCCCCGCATTTTTCCTCCACGAGTTTGAGAAGCGAAACAGCTTGTCGTATCAAGTTCGCAAATACAAACAACTTACGAACGCCTTGATGTTGCTGTCGACACATTTTATTCAAGTAAACACGAAAGAATACCCTCGGCTTTTATGCAGCGGATATTATTTTGATCCGTTCCTCGCGATGGAAAAGAAACTATATTTTTATTAGATCCACACGATCGAAGACAGATTCCGCCTCTTAATTTGAACCGGTCGGCCAACGTGTTATGAATAGAAGGTAACGGAGTGGATTCGCGGGCTTTTCAGAATTTCTCTCCCGACGTTGCAGCTTTTCAGACAATTAACAATCGCTGGAAACTTCAGTCCAACTAATAACACGCCACTCGAATTTATTATCTCACTAACAAGGGATTTCGTGACGCTCGGAAGTGGATTCAGTTATTCTCAAATCTGATTTTCTTCCTTTCAGTTGCGATGTTTTCCGATTTTAATCAACCTCGAGGAAAATTACCTATGCGCTAAAATGAACTTTCTGCGATTCCATTTCCACAGTTTCTCTCGCGATAAATATGTACATAAACGAAGTTCATGCTTAACTTGATTTATGCGAACTTCCCCAGTCTCCCTTTATTGCTGTCGCGCTTTCAAACGATAGGTGGTGCGCGACTTGAAAACGCGTATGCCAAAGTCTACGTTACTTTACGCGCAAATATTGACGTAATAAATCTTTGACTGGATTGTGTGTGTGAAGTGTGATATTTTTCCCGTCTGTTGCAGAGGTCTCACATTATTCGGCGAATCTCGAGGACAATGGGGACGTTATCGAGGTGGAGCAGGTAAAAGTTTTTTTCCTCCCTCGACGTATAAAACGCTTACGTAGAAAGTATGAAATTATTAAAGCAGTTCGTTGGATCTCTCGCGCTCCAGCCATTCTGCAAAAAGCAGCTCGAGAGTGTACTTTCGTTAAAATTACGCGCGATCGAATACATTCTCCTTACCATTAGACCATCTCCCTCTCTCTGTCCCCCTTTATCTCTCTCGCTCGCGCTCGCTTCATCTCTCTCACTCATTCACACACCCGATGTGTCGCAAGATAATTGCCTGTAGACTGGAGTGTGTTGTTGAATGGAGTATTGAATTATCGGAGTGTCGATGTCCCCTTATGAGCGTAATTGTGAACGGTTGGAGTGCGTGTCTGGAAAATAACGATTCTATCGCGACGTCTCTTGCAAACAATTTCAGGCGTATGCTTACGCGAAAGCATAACGAAAAAATTGCAATTGTCCCGATAGTGTTACCATTTTATCGACGAAACAAATAACGGCGAATCGAATGGCGCGTGACGTTATGCGACGCGAGACAATGAGGGGACGAAGGAGAGCGAGAAAGAGCGAACGATAATGAATATGTTTGGCAAATACTTAACAAGGTCGAATTGATAAAACTTACATCGATCCGACGGTGAGCGCTGCCCGCGGCGTTAATCGGTAGTTCCAGAAAGCTTACGAGCTCGAACATATGACCGCGGTAAAGTTTCGCGCGCGCGCGCGTACTTCTTTGCGATTTAGAAGAGCTTCCTCGTGAGACCCGCTCGCGATCGTCCCGTAAACTCGCTGTTTACGATTCAAACGCATCCCTCGAGTCGGAATTTAGTCCTACTCTAAGTCTGATTTACTTCTACCTTAAGTCTCCAAAGGTTTTCAAATAGTACTCCTTGATCATTGATATTGATGGTATTTTCGTACATTTTTCTTTTATTTTCATATTTCGTCCAAAATGGTAATGGTTGTGTTGCCCCATCCACTCTGTATATGTGCAAATTATGTAAGCAGAATCTGTCATACGAATGCATAATTAATTAATCAGTGCTAATTAATCTCCACTAATCGATACTGATCATCGCGTTTAATCTCCCGCGGCGCGAATTACGCAGCGGTCGTACCTCGACACTGCACCTCCTCGAAATAAAATGGAGGCCGGGTGTTTGAACCGGTCTCGTGGGAATTAACTGCGCGCGCTCACCGTAATCAACGATCTCGCATTTCCCATTACTCGCTCAGAATCGAGCCAGATGCGCGTTTCGGCTTTCGCAGGTAACGGGTGCTCGACGTAACTCGCGGCGCATCGTTTCATTCAGCTATTATGTCATGGCCGAGAGGCGAAGGAAGGTGTGTGATGGTGGGATCGATCCGCGGACTCGCAGTGTTGCAACCGGGAAACGCGCGCGTCACGCATTAGTTTTCGCGATCTTGAATTCCGCGCTACCGATCGTAAAACTCGCGCGACGATTTATATTCGTCCGCCGCGATGACGCCCGTACGATTACCTTTTTTTTCCTTGTGTAAAACATTGTTCGCATGCGGGAATAACGCGGCAGATTTGCATTCGCGTCCAATAACAACTCGGCTGCGACTCGCGGTAACTCGCCATTTGCGCCGCCGTTTGTCGGCGCAAACTTAATTGTCGGTTTTGCGAAGATAGAAAGAGAAAAATAGGAGGATACGCATCGCTGTTTTATCGTAACAATAACTCGACAACACGCTGATTCACAATGGCGTAACAGCTCTTTGTCAATATCCTCTTGCGGAATGGAAACCCTGATACCCGTTGTCGAGAGAGGAACGGACAGAGAGAAAAAGAGAGGGATTCGTAACGCGTGAATATAAATTGTTACATGTAGCAGGTAGAGCTCCCGGCAAATGTAATCCGTCATACGAATGGTGTCCGCGCTAATTCGCGCGTCGTATCCAATTCGTCCGTGTCGCGGATCTTCATCCATGCTAAATCCACCCGAATTACTTGACATTCGTTTCGAACAATCCGACCCATTTGATTCGACGTTGCAACAAACAAATACGTCGGAAGAACTCGAATCGGATTAAGGGGGTGTTTCCAATTGAGACGCGTCGATTAATAGAGTCGGTGGAGGTAAGTGTACGCACTTTAGAATTCCACGTTCTATTACAAACAAATGGAATGGTTTGTATTTGAAGCGATAATGTATTTATTTAGTTGAACTCTTGATTAAATTCGATTAAAAATCAAAAGAAGCATAAAGTATTACAATTCTTAGTAATTTAACAGAAAGGAATTTAATTCAAAGTGCACGCTCTTGCTTCGCACGCGAGGTAAATGTGGGCATGGATGTTGGGCGAGTGAATTCACAATTTTAATTGCAACCGCATACAAAAACACCTCTCACATGAATTGAGCATTGCATATGTTACTATTTTTTTTTTTTTGCATTTTTACACTTGACCCACTCTTCTAAAGGTTGTTCCTCGAATTTTTCGTGACAAAGTGGATAAAAATACACATCTTCAGTCTTTTTTTCTTTATTCTCTTAAACTAATGTCAGAGGGCCCTAGATTATGAAGGACTGATTCTCTCAAAAAACTTTTTCCTATTTCCGTCTTCTTTGTCTTTTTTCCAGCTTACCCTCGCGTACACTTATCCGCGAACACTCTTTCCCGTCTACATCTTTCTCGGGAAAAAATTCAAAGTTCTAAACTATAAAATAACCTGGTACTCTCTTTCTTGTAAAACATTGACAAACGATGTAACTTTTATACAAATATATATTATCCTCTTTCGTCGAGCAATTAAAGTGCGGCAAGATTACGAAGTGTAACGAAACTTTTAAAGAAAATTGCTTGTTTTCACACTTTTGTATTTTTTTTTATTGTAAGCGCGCGCTGCCTTCCGGCATAACTTTTTTCACCTCGAGATGGCGATTAAACATTTCATAGATAACAACATCCCCCACATCTCCCACACAGTTATAGGCAACGCATACACTTACCCGCTGCGTATAGTTACCCCGATTAATTCTAGGCGATTTTTAAGAACTCTTTTGAGGAAAACTTTAAGACGTAAAATATGGAAAAGTTTTAGTTATTCGAATAAATGTGCGAACGGACAAATTGAGTTTAGTTACGACATTCTCGGCTGTGCGAAATTCTAACAGGAACTGGAATATTTCCAAAGGACAATTGAGACATTTATCAACGTACAGATGGCATAAATTATTTCTTCGCGGGGACGTATCGGATTCTCGACAAAATACTTATACCGGTTCAGGTGCATTTCAAGAATACTTCAAGGTAAGCTCACAGCACGCGTCTCAGCGCAATCTTTCTTCGTATGAGATATAATCGAAACGTGTATTTGAAATTGTCATCTTTTACGTTATATAAAATAAATGGTGTAAACGTTGACCTACTTGTCGCCTTGTGATTGCGTAGGAAGCTGTTTAATAAGCCCGATTCAGTGACGTCGACGCAACCAATCCATTACTATACCTCCGTACGTGGCTGAAACTTCCCTGACAGGAGCTGTCTGACAATTCTGCCCGGAGGGGACAACGTATCGTTTCTCGTAAAACGAGGCGGCGCGATTCGGGAAATAAACACTCGCAATATCCTGATCGACCGCACAGGGCAGTAACGAGATGTAACTAATAAATAAACGCACGAGAACTTTGCATAAACGGCCCAGTTCACGCGTGCCCGTAAACTCGAGAGGCCGTGGCTTTATAACGCTTTTAGCATAATGAAGAACTTCGGCTCGCAACTGCGAGATCGCCGAGTTCTCGGGCGCAATACAGGCGAATTGAAATTAATTGCGCCAGCATTCGAAGGTTCAATTTCTCCGCCGTTGGGGATTAACTTCAAAAGTTTTGGCGTTTCTCTCGCGGGGTGAATAGACGTCAATGACTGTGCGGTCTCAGAATCCAATTTGGAAGACTTCGAGTCATCTTGTCCGTCACGTGGACAGACGCGTTAACCGAATGGGGATGCTTTTTCCTACGAGAAGGCGGACAAATTTCAATGGATGCGGACGAAAATTTAATTCTGGTGAAATTGAATCGAATGAAGTGGAATCGGATTCTTTGAAAACAAAAATTGATGTGGAATTTTTCAAATCCCACGCTCCGTCCTTCTGTATTTTTCCAACCGCGGCGTAACTAAATGCCGAGCGTGGAATAGAAAGAACTGCGCTTTTATTTCGTGGAAATTCAATTCCCCTGTCAAGAGATCGAAAGGATGACAATGAAAAGGTTCTCAGAAGGGAGAGCGAATGACGAATTTATAAAACCATTCTTGGAAACGTAAGATATTCATAACTTGATCGATTCTATTCAACTTCTGTTGATTCATTTTAATTCATCCATTTGTCGCATATGGCAAAAAGAAGGGGACAAAGAGGGAAACAGAGAAAGATAATAGAGACGAAACCAAAACACCCGAGCTGGGTGTAACTTTATTAAAAACCTCGACAAAACGACTCTCTCCTGCGGTTTGTCCAACATATCTAAATAATAGAACGTTCTTTATCTGGCTTCGTATAGAATGTTGTCGGTATCGGTTCCTCCTCAAGCGTATCGCGTCGTTCTTTCTCGTGGATATTCGTGCTCACGATTTATTGATCTTCCGATTTTATTTATACACGCGTCCCGTGCGTCATTTTATTTTTCATGCATATTTTATGCGTGCGTGCAAACATCTGGACGTATGCGAGCCCGCGCCACAGTGATTCGAATCGGCTCGTTTGTGACAGCGCGATTTTGATCCGCACGGAAGCCGAAGAAACGGCGGCTCCTTTCTCCGACATGCCGATTGCGAAAGAACTTTCTGTTCAAACCGAGCGAATTGGAGGAAATGCGGGTAATATGGAATATCACGATTTCTAGTCTGTTAAGGGGATTCTGGAGTGACGGTCGAACTTTGACGGAGAAGAAGCCTTTATTAAGTGAAATAAAAATGTCGGTAAATTCTTGACATTTTAAATGTGATGTGGAGCAAACATGTTTAAATGAGCATCCCGACGAGAATATCCGCATGCAATCGACGTGGAACTCATGTAAGGAAGTCGATTCTACGTCAATTCCACGGATGTTCTCATGGGGATGCGAAAGGATGTAGGAAAGTGCGATAAAACGAATGAATGATATAAGAAAGAGAGAGAGAGAGAGAGAGTTATACACCACTATTGCTCTACTTACCATCCTGCATTTACATTACGCACGTGCAGATACGTAAAGTACGATGGAGCACCACTATACGTTCTTATTAAATTTTCACTCTTAGTTTTGTTGATACATCGTTGTTCTTTAGGTTACTCCAAAGTGCAGGATATAAGGTTCCATCAGATAAGTTTTAAAATTTTTATTTAATAATCAATCTACAGGGTGACGCAAAAAAATATTACCTCACTAATATAGTTTGTTATAAACATTGAAAGCAACATTGTACAATATTTAATGAACACTTTATAAACAATCAAAGTGTGGTAACATCTTTTTGCGATACCCTATATTTTACAAATTCTTAATCGCCTTTTGTTACATGTAAAACAAAGATATAGCTTTAATGTAGTCTATTATGCAAGTATCATATGATAACATATTTCCATTGTGTACGATAAAAATAGAAAAGTAGTAATATATTACCCGCCATTTTTATAAGTATTGCATATCATATTCTATTATTTCTTTCTTTCAGGATGTCATAGAATGTAGGTGACGTCGTTAAAAGAAATAAACAACGGGATGAAACCAATATGATGTTACATACACTTATATGAAATTATAACATTATTATGACAGAAAATATAAAAATATAAGTTTATAATACATTATAATATAAATATATATACAATCATTATTATATAGACTATTCGATCATACGCAATAATTACTATCACGTCTGGAATATCTTCAAGAAATAAAGATATTCTATCAACGATTAGATGATGATGAAAAAAGTTTTCATTCACAAAGAAGGTGTTCGATATCATTGATACCAATGCAATTTCTGTTGGATAAATTTTCCTCTCTCTCGTGCCCTCATATTTCAAAGATATTCAAAGATATCAAGGTGATCATAGTTATTGCCTCACACTGCACTTATCGAACATCACGGGAGGAAAGTCCGGCGAAGGAAAGCAAAAGTTACTGTCCCGTTACATGACGGTATCTTCTGAGCCACCTGTTAGTTTTCTCGCTGAGCGCCGAGCTCTAAAGTCGGGCGATGCTCCTCCGGGAGGCGCGTCCTAAATAATTCATTCTCTCGTATTTCAGAGCTTCACGTGGAATCTAGGAAGGCCGGTGGACGAGGCGGAGGTGCTGCAATTGGCAGTCGTGTCGCGCGGGGTCCTGAGAAATGAAAAAGTCGTGGCGAAGTACGGCCTGGTGTTGCAGACGGTAGTGCGGGAGGGACGGATCTTGGTATCGGACTCTCTGGTCGATCTCAATAACAAACCGCTTCCGGTACGTTTCGATATCGGATCGAACGGTTGAATACATAATCGCCCTACTTTGTATTCCGAATAACGCGTCTCACCCTCCGACGATCCTCTACGATCTCCTGCAAAGTGCAGAATGCGAGGTTCTCTTTAACGCTTTTGTAATAGCGCGGTTCATCTCTCTCTCTCTCTCTCTCTCTCTTTCTCTTTTTTTCATTTTCCTGGCTCGTAGGCGGAATTAATTTTCACTTTTACTCACTTTTATTTATATATTTACCCATGTAACAATTTGGTCAGTTTTTATTTATACTGGCCCTTATGGTGCCCAACTATATTGAGGAAGGTACGCTTTTAAGAGCCGTTTGTATGTTGTTCGAGATAATTTTAAACTAACAACGGGGAAATAAAATTTTACAACAGTGTAACAATATAAAGTCTACAATCATACTCTGCGGGACGCAGATAAAAGGTAATATTTAATATTAAAAAATTTATGTCTGGGACATGGTTAGTTTGTAGTAATTAACTTCTAATTAGAGTTCCGTGTGCGTAGAAAATCCGAGGAGAACCGACACGCGCACAATATGCTAACAATTTTTTATCTCTCTTTTTCCGCCGTTAAATTAAAATTATCTTCACCAACATTCAGCGACAGGATTCTTAAAAGCGTATCTCTGTTTTAATATTGTGGAGTAAATCTTTTCCCCCGCGGGTAGTTTTGTTTGCTCCTGCCACCCGAAGAAATCGCCGAAGAAAAATTAGGAAATTAATAATTCCCCCCGTACATGCCGCGGGATATCCGACATCACCGGCAGATTTGCGTTGTAAATAAAGAAACACGAGCTTCATGAATATGTGCGTTACCGTCCGTCGTCGGTTAATTTCGACAATTTTACGCGTCTTGTCAAATTCAACCGCTTTGTTTCCGTTCCCTCCCACTTGCTCTCCCCGACGATTTCGCAACCGTCGGAAACGCGAGAGAGCAAAACCGTGCTGTTGCGACGTGTATTGCATCCGTCACGTCACTCGGTTGAAAATTTCCGCGGAAGAGCGCCTTTTTTGCGAGAGAACGCGGTATCGTTGACAACTGTTCCCTGAGCTTGCTTTTATCGCGAGGTATTTCAAATATTTAAAGTAGTCCGTAGAATGCTAAATTTCCAATGGCGATATTAAAAGAGCTTTACATAAATTTAATATTTATTGAAAAAACATACTACCCTTTAACTTGATTTAACGAAGTAAAAAAAGTTAACTTTGAGCAAGATAAATGTATACGTACATTATTACAAACACGGGGATGTTATTTATTTTTTGTTTTCTTAATGCTTTTAATTAATGCTTTTTTTTAATTAATGCTTTTAATTAATGCTTTTTTTGTATGTCGGTTGAACTAACAGAGGTGCGTACATAAATGCGCGTTACGCGCGTAATTATTCGCGAAGTCGTCCACGTGGAAACGAAACCTCGGCGTCGTCGTCGTCGTCGCGAGGACGTCCGCAGGTGAAACGTGCAGCTAACGAAATCAGTGTGCAATCCTGTGCGAATACGCCAAGTGTTCTTACTTTTTACGCCAAGTATTATTACTTCCTACAAGTCAAACAAAATATATTGAACTTCTGCGCGATCCTTGGAACTCCGAGCGCACCGTGTCGACCTTGCGATTATGCATACGCAGAGCGAACGGAAGATACACGACGGGAAAAACTCGCTAGTTTATCTTTCTTAATCTTAATCTTTCCTCGTGGCGTTTAGATTGTCGCGAATGAAACCGACGTCTCTCGAAGTCGCGGTTGAACGATGCGAAGGCAAATCAGTTTTTCTCTCCTCGTTTTTCTCCACCAGACGAGACATACCTTCGCGCGGCATCATGCTCCGACGCGTCGCATAAACATCGAAACTTCGACTACGTGAAACCGTAAAGGCTGGCACACCAAGATGAGACAGTTAACTTCGTATCTTTTATTATGTTTCCCCGCACTCCCTCTCGGTCCGTCTCAGAAAACAAGAAAGCACTGCGCGTACATCTCTCGTCATTTCTCGCCGAGACGGTTTGAACGTGTAACGCTCTCCATTTTTCCCGAGACCGCCCGTTCTACGGCAGGTATGCCGAAAATTGTTGGACATTTTTCTCGGAGTGCTACGTGCATTTCCCGGCAGATAATCGCACATTGTATCGGAACGTTACACTTTGCCGGCTGTCGTCGCTATAGTCACGCGAGGAACGAAATTCGCTCACGATACTTTGCGCGTCGATTGTTCGGACGCCCATATCCAACGATCGATCCCTCTAATGTGCCCCTACGTGACTATGTGTGTGTGCGTGTATGTGTATGCAGGCGGTGGTGTGCTTCGAAATTCGATACAATCCACCGGACGAAGGTTGCAGTTCCTACGCGGCCACGGAAATAATGGAGGACGAACAGCAGATGCTGATCGACATCGAGCAGAATATCGCGAATCTCGAAAGGAGCCTCGAACAGGCGAGCAGCGGAGTTACCAGCGGCAAGAGAAGGGGATCTTGGCACACCCCCGAGAAAACGTCGAAAAGAGGCTTCCTGCCGAGGGGCACGTCCCTGGCGACCGGCGAGAAGTCGCCCGATCGGAAACGGTGAGTACACAGTCATCGCGAGTTCTCGTTTGCATTTAATTGACTTGTATTAATTGAATAACGACAGTAATAATGGTAACGATAACATCCAGCTTGGTGTTCAGAAATATACGAGAAAAAACAGCTCGTAAGATGGAAATACCAAGGTAAGGTAAAAATATTTGGACAGGTACACAGAAAAAAAGTTTTAATCTTAAATCAAGAATAGATATTCTTATATGTATGCAAAAATATTCTCATTTTCTTAGAAGATTTTTATTCTTTATTTGATTGAATTTGTACTGATGCAAATATTACTTGCACTTCTTCAGTTCAAGACTAAAAATCTTCTAAAAATATTCTATAATATTCTTGTTCATGAGGATATCTTCCGTTAATTTGAAATCCTTTCTATGTGCCCAACCACGTTCTTGTTGTTTTCGCCTTTAAATACAAATATTTAATCTTTAAGTATAAAATATTTGTACATATTAAATATATTTATAATATTTTCCATATTCAAAATTTGAATATTCATATTGAAAAGCCAAAACAACAGGAATGTTCGGAATTGGGTACGTATCCAGGCATTGATACTTTTACCTTAATTAATTAATTAATTGTCTCGTTAAATTCGCACGAAATTACCATCGTAGCTGTTTAATAATTACGTTTATTACGGGCAACGTATTCGTATATGGTAAAAACATCAACATCATTGTGAAATATTTACATCAACTCCTACGCTAAAGTTCCATGGGAAGGGATGAGAAAAAGGGGGAGAAGGGGGAGGGGGGAGTACGCCGCTGTGGGCCAACGCGATTTACGGCGGGCCGTAATTATGTATCACATTGTTAGCTCCGTTTAAAGCACCAAACGATATTGAATTACTGAGAAATAACGTTACGGTTAAAGTAGGCGAGATCACGAACCACGTTCGTGTTTTTATTTACTTAAATGCAGACAGAACGTAGCAAGCGTTATTAAGAAAATTGGTCTCTTCCAAACGCGATGCAATAATCGTAACCTAATATTTGCCTAGCCGTGCCGTTAAAAGCCGCTACTTTTTATCCTCCTTCGCCGATCGACACTGAATGCAATTGAAAACGCGTTTCGAGCACGCTCGCTCGCGCGCGGAATCAACGAGACGGTAAACGAGCGGAAAATATTACTGAGCCACGTCTATTTTTTACTCCATTCAAGCCCTTGCTCGCGCATCGGCCACTCCGGTACGCTAATATACGGCGTTTTACATGACGTCATTAGTGCGTGTCGTTATTACGTGGCTGCTGCCGCAGTCGCGTCATCGGAACATGAAGCGACCGCTTAAAATAAGGATGCTAGAAGAGCGTCTGGCGAGATCGGTGATGCGTTAAAGTTCATTATCGCGTTCACCGCTCACAGGTGAACCTTGTCGCAAAGGTCAGAACAAGAGGCTGCGGTAAAGGAAGGTGAGGAAAAGTCTCGACGCGGATCCGACCAAAATACACACACACCCACACACATACATCCGGGGCGTGTTATTTTTGCGAAAGCCGGTGCGACGGTACAGAAGACTCCATTAACTTTAAAATAATAGGATGTGTCTCCGAGACATGGATATTTTTTATGAACCCCCTTCTCTCCTATGTTTTTCAGCCCGCTGTACCTAATATTTCCAATTTATCTTATATTTTGAAAACATTTCTAACGTATGTCACATTAAACCGTCTTATGATGCGAAGACGTCCAAGGGACGTATTATATGCAGTCCTATAACGAGCAGGAAGCAGGAGAAAGGAAAATTTGACATACGCCTCACGCGTGCCCACCCCGCGTTTTTCCACCCTGAGGCGCCCTCGCTCTTTGCCCCGGCCCTTCGTCGAGAATTTGTCGTAGAATTTCGTCGAGCTCGTGGCAATCGATCTCGGCCTCACCCGATAACTCGCCGTCATTCTCCTACCGCTTCCCAGAATGAAGAAGATACGTGACTTAGTAGCGTATAAGCCGCTGGCTATTATTAGAGCGTTATCCCGGCGCGTCGACGGACACAAGAAGGAAGCTGCTTTTTATACCTCGCGAGAGCGCGGCTCCTCCGGCGGGTATTAAATGCTCCAGGGAGCGCCACGGTAATTCCTCCTGTTTCCTTCTTCTCGACGAGGACGCAGCCCCCGAGAACGTAATTCGTGGTCGTCCATATGTGTGCACGTAACACATTTCCGTTGGCAAAACCACCGCCCACGGCTTCCACCCGCCGTAATCGATGAGAAATCGGGGGCGGAATAGAACGGACAGGACGTATATCCTCCCCGCAACGTCCCAGGCTTCATTATTAATTTCGTCCCAGCTTATGGGCCCAAATTTCGATCGGCGTTTTCGCCGGCGGCTCATCACGGCGGGATCACCGCCGCTGCTTTCGACCTTTTAGGATTTCGCTCTTTCTCAAGTATCTAATATTGCGTGACCTTAATATGTGGGAGACGTTTTCATCAATTTTTCACTTTCTATAACATTGAATATACTTACTTCTTTTTTTTTTTGGCGTACAGCGCAACTAATAAAGTTATTATCATTAAAATAAAACGCTCAAAACCAATAAAGAGAGTTCATATAAATTTCATATAAATTTACCCTATTGTTTTTTTAGCCCCCGTGTCCATCCCTCAGCAGTGTTTCCCATGCATTAAGTTAAACTCTGCATATGTTTGATAGTTTTTAACGAGTATAAACGTAATTTTAAATAATAATAAATTTCAAATATATTTAAACGTTTTTCTACGTTCTTCTTTCCAGCTCGGTTTGCTCGCTAACATATAACGACGAAACATTAAAAGCGTTTTTGTCTCCGCGCACTTTTTCTCGGACTTGTCAAAATAATCGCTTCTCTATAAAAACAGTACCGATATTACATCTTTACGTGGAAAGCGTTCAATTCAAATTGCATTTCTAAGTATTTTAATCCGCTGATGCATGCGCTCACCGTTACAAGCGGGATTTAAGTGAGCAGGGAGAACGACGCGATCGCCAACGACGTGTGCAACGGCGAGAGACTCGCCGAACTGATACGAACGTGACGCGCCAGCAAGCGGCTTTTGCGCGCAACTATAACCTGAGAAGGATACACGTACTAAAGCGAACAGTTTGAAACAAAGTCTCGTATCTCTCGGAAACTACGCGCAACAAGGAAACATTAATGATGATAATAATAATAATAGCATCTAATCTCCGATACAGCAGAAGAGGGACGATTTTCAAAATGCCCGACGTAGAATTGCTTACTTCTACCTTCTTCTTCTTTCCCTCCGATAAATTGGTCGAAACGGTAAACGATCGTCGTTGAAATTTAAAGAGGCTGCAAATGAGACTTGAGACTAGAAAGGGATCTCGGGCTGTGCGGAAACATCGTGCGGAATTACGCTTCGCGATCGATACTGCTGAGCGCGATAACCGGTTTTTACGAGAGCATCTCGCCGCTCGTAATCTTGGAAGACCGTTCGTCATGTAATACGGCAGAAATTACTTTTCGTAAGAGGAAACTTTCGCTCGCCGATAACAGCCGATCCCTTTACGGCGTGCCCCGCAGAAGCACCACCCTGAGAAGCATGCGATCGTTCCTGAAATTGGGGAAGCAGAGACCGCCGCGGGCACGCTCCTGCGACAGCTCGAACTCGGAGACGAAGGAACTCCTCGACAGACGGGACTCCAGCTGCCCGACTTCGAACGAGCCGTCGCGAACGAATTCCATGACTTCTCTCGAAACGAACGCGTCCGATAACGACAGCCAGCTGAGCGGCAACCACGACCAGGAGGAGACGTCTCTCACGCCGGCCAAGAGACCAAAGCCCAAGGTTAATATCTCATTTATGACGATTTATTATGATGAATAATTCACATTATTACGTTAGAAAAACCTCGCCCGTTTATTCACCGACCATGATCGGCAGGGCGTCGGGAAAGATCTCATATCGCGGGGACGTGTATTAAGCGTTAACGAGAGTGCATAAACATCGAACGCGTTTAATGCGCTTCTCGGTGACGGCCCGCGACGCGGCCTCCGCAAGTGCGGGGGGTCGTCTATGAATGAAGAGATTAAAGTTAAACGGCGTTGCGGGGAGGAGAGAAGTCGGAAGGGGGAAGGGTAAATAGCGGAGGTTAAGCATAATTTTTACGCGTCACCGTGCCACTTTTTACGACGGCGCTCTATTCTGCAGCTCGTAAAAGCATTCAGCGGTAACTACGCGGAGCGAGGTATTCCCGTCTCGGCAAATATCGCGACGCTCGTGGCTCGATGTTACATCGATTACTCGTCCTTTGACATTGCGCGCGTTTGCGCGACAGGTAACGCCGCGAGTTGTTTGTCAAAAGCCAAAGGCCCTGGACTTTCCTCCTCGTCGAGCGTGCTCTCCTTCCACGTCCTCCTTCGTGAAACATTCGTTCGAACACATTTCGCATTCAATGAAGTTAATGGCGCGTCCAATCACTATTCATGACACCCGTGCGATAATCTGTTGCGACAGCAGCCGAGGTGACAATATACAGAGCGAGGCAATGGCTATTAGTGTACACAGAGTATCTTGGAAAATTACAAATGTTTTATCAACGTTTAGAAGAAGGTGGAAAAAAGTTAACATTTACAGAAAGTGCTCGGAGTGATGGCCATTATTATCAACGCGATGTTTGCCGGACAAATACTTCTCTCCTGCTGTCGTATTTCAAAAATATTCAAAATGGTAATTGCCATTGTCTCACCTTTTCAGTAGAAGCACAAGTGTCTATTATATTTTTATGTATCGAATAAGGGTATAATGAAAGATCAATATTTGCACCGTGTCATTTCGGCTTCTGCCGATTATTACGCAAGTCCGTCAGCGTAGCGGTTAGCAGTTGTTAATTGACAAGCAATTGATTAATTGACAAGCTCCTAATTTCATGGGAAAAGTGTATATAGTCAATTACAATATTGTGGTAATATTTTTATCTTAATAAGTTTTGAAACGCATCCCCAACTCAGTTTAAATGGTAGCTTTTAGATGAAAGCTATTTGAATTTGTTTCATTAGCATACTAAATTCCGAGTCAGGAAACAGACGAGACCGCAAAATATCATATGAGTCGCGTATAGGTTGTTTTAAACGGAATTTTGGCGAATGAAAAGTTACGTCGTTGTACTGCGAAAAAAAAACGAGCTCTCTCATTGGACCATCGATTGCGTTCCAAGTTGGATACATGTTATGGGTTCGTTCGATATTGATTACGATCGGAATCAGTTAATCTCGAGATTTTCTCCTGTATTTTAGAGAATAATTAAAGGATTCCAATCGGAATCAATACCGGATGAGTCCGTAACACGTGCCCTGAATAAAAAGGAAAATTGCTCAAACCGTTTCGAAATTTTCCGTGCGAACTGTCTTGGAAATAAGCGCGGGATGGCCGCGCTGCAAACGGCACGTGTTTCTCTCGCTTTGCAGACCGGCGACACCGGCCAGAGCGCCCTGAAGGCGCAAGATTACCAGGTGTGCGTTACCATCATCGAAGCGAGGCAGCTCGCCGGGCTCAATATGGATCCGGTGGTGTGCGTGCAGGTCGGCGATCAGCGCAAATACACCAGCGTCAAGGAATCCACCAATTGTCCGTACTACAATGAAGTAAGATGTCGAGGATGCCTCGCTCGCGCACGCCAAGCGCGCGTTTGCAAGCGCAATTTAATTAATTCGATGAGCTCGAATATTGGAATTAACATTGTCGATCTAAATCGAGAAGTTCTCCCATATCCGGGTATCTATCCTCGCGGCTATTACTCGGGTGCTAAAAGTCAGTAATGGTCGAAAACGAGTGATATCCGAGTATTTCCGAATATCCAATCGCCGATAAGTGCGCATTTACTTCGAAATTGCAAAAACGATATGAATATTAATCGTTTAATTACAAGTGGCGCACGTGAGAGTTTCAGATTTGTTTGCCTTTTACAATCATATGTGAAGTTTCAACCACGCCAACAATATTACGTGAATAATAAATGGAATGTTTAATTTAATTGGATAATACTCAAATAATTTTTGCTGATTGATTTTTGAATTATTCCAGAAATTATAACCAAGCGATCGTGCACTCGAGAAACATTCGAAATAATCATAACGCGTATCTAGAAATTCTGAGAGGATGTATAGAATGTTTTTTTTTTTATTACAAAAGGTGTTGGTAAAGGTGTTACACGTTGGTATGCGGAAATGTTTTGCGTTTTACACGTTGGTGCATGGAAGCATTGCATAATTTCACCCGAATATTAGCCGAAAAGCCAAAAAAGTCAACCTAATTTCATTGGATATTATTCGCGCGTTATTAAGATATTTTATTTATTATTTGCATTATTTAATATTCATTATTTATATCATTTGTTATTCACGTAATACATATAATTACTCGTTATTTGCATTTATTTATTATTCACATGTCCGTAATTATTTATTATTTGTGTTATTCGTTTCTCGTTATTTATTTATTTACGCACGTCCGTGTGCGCGCGTGTATGTAAACTCTCATTTCATTATATTATTTCATTAAAAAGGTTGTCACGCTTTTATTTAAGTAAATATCGTTATTTGATGACTTCTGAAAGAAAATATTATATATTTATGGATGGCCCTTTGCGAATATATTTGTACACGTGTGCCTGCTCCTTTCCTTTCTCTTCATTCATTGCGCAAATATTCGCCCGGCCGATTCACGCTCTCATTCGTATCGTTCCAGTATTTCGTCTTCGATTTCCACATGCCGCCCGTCATGCTCTTCGACAAGATCATCACGCTTTCGGTAAGTTCCTCCGCAAATAGAGCGATTTTCGCGGCGATCTTCAAGCTCCGCGCGCAGCGGCAGGAGTCAATTTGTCCGTCGACGTGTATCTTAATGTATATTCGTGATACAATTATTGCTCGCGCGATAATTACGCCCCGTTGCGCCATTGTCGGGCCGCGATTACATTCGACGGACACAGTTACATGAGTATCGGGAATCGATTGCCGAGGGAGGGACTTGCGGGTAAGGGCGTTTAAATTCCGCCGGGAGTTACGCTCGCTGACAACTCGGGCGCTTGACGTTCGAGATGAAAATTACAAGCGACGGAAAGATGGAAGATCGCTTAAACAGCACGTCTTTTGGTGTAATACGCAGGTGCAGCAATCGCGGAATCTCTTGCGCGCTAATCTAACGCTGGGCATCTTTAAGTTAGACATCGCGACGGTATGGGCACAACCAGGTACAGGTTTCACACCGTCCATATGGACCGGAGACGGTTCTAATGCCCGGTGCATACTTAAGAATTTTATTCCTCAACTCGACCCAGGGAAAGAAAATATGCGCTCGCGTCTATTTGATATGCAAATTGCAAAACACGTCTTTTGTAAATACCATGTCCATTTTCTGCAGAAGAGAAGAGCACCGCTCGCGAACGATACTTGAGAATATATTTCAAGCACACGACATATTCATGATATTTTAATTGAGGCACGTGAAAAAAGAGGCAGTAGTTACGCGCTTGAATTGTGAATCGATAATGGCTCTCGAAAATACAAATATATGTGTGTATGCAGCAGACTGGTTATTTCGGAATACGTTTACATCGATTACGGGATATTTCCATCGTTATATAACGGCGATTAGCGAAAATCTTCGATGACTATTTCCATAGTAACCGTCTCTCCGATCCGACTCGCTGAGCGACCGTGGACGGAGGCTCGTAGGTGTGAAATCGACCTAACGATTCGGCGAGATTCGTTTGCTCGATAACGTCGCCAGATGTGAGCGACTCTATCGCGGATTAAATTCTTAAGCGTGCACCCGGTACGGAGACTCGGTATGTAACACCGTCGTGTGTGTTTCTCATTTCTCTCGACAACGAGGAATCTTTCTTCTTACTGTGTCACCTTCTTCTGCATTTCGTCCGCGAGTCTCGAAGAGAGAACGCGGGCCCCGCATCTGCGAGGAGGGCCCTTTGTCGTCTTTTTGCGCGGCGAAACTCCGGCGGCAACTTGGGGAAGAAAGCAAATTTCGTTACGAACTAGTATCGTCTGACGCGAAATGTCCTCCTCCAACTCTCGCGAGAGTTCCCTCCCTTAACTTCACGCTGCTGTAATTCAAAGAATTTTCCAAAGGCGCCTGCGATACTTGCCGTTCTCTAATTAGACAATGCCGCGTCTCAAAGGACTCGGGGCTCATGTATTTCGTTCGTAATTTCCGATGTAATTTACATGAGATTTACATATTAACAATAATTTTAGCCCTTCAACTGCGAAAGGTGTGTACATACGCCCTCGTGTTTTCATTAATATGTATGAAAAGCGTGTACTCTCCGTAAATTCCGTAAATTCGACACAACGCATTTCTCGTCGGAGAGAATACGATCGTCGTTGATAATTTCTATTTATAAACACGATTTATGATGCACTACCTTATATCTTATTTACAAACAAGCGCCTCGCAAGCAAGAGACATAACTGATCGATGCTCTGTAACGATTGTCGTACGCAGCGAAAAGTTCGTGTCGAGAAGCGTCGCAGCTGAAGGGTTGATACAGACGACGTTTGTTAAAATAACGATTCGGCAATTGTAATCTTTTACCTCGTCTTTTGTCTCTCTTTTTTTCGAGAGTACTCGCATCATTATCGCCGATTATTAATGCGAAGAACGTCATTAGCGAACGGTCGCAAGAACGAGAAGACCTTGTTGAAAGAACGTCATTCTTGGAATATCCATTATGCGGAAGATAATCACACACAGTCGTGTACCAATGTAGCTCTTATGCATAATAACGATAAGCAAGTAACAGGCACACCTAGTCGCGCGCGAGCGGGACGGTATTTGAAACGGGAGACTCCGCGACCGAACGGGGAAACTTCAACCCCGTCGATTCAGCGCGCGACGAGTTTTTCACGAAAGCGCTTCCTTCCTTTAATCGCGTGGGACTCCACCGCGTAGTCCTTACACCAGGTCGATCGATCGATCGATCGATTGATTCGCCGATCAGCGCCACGGAAGGAATTGTTAGGTGAAAAACGACGACGACGGCGGCGAGGCGTCCGTCATCGTTTGTCGTGTCTGACATTCGTTACGACGAGCGGACGTTCTATTTTCATCGCGAGTCGCTTTCGCATGTGCTAGGCTTTTCACCTTCACATACATACATACACATACACATTGTGTTTTTATGCGCATGTGTCTACGTTCCGTAAATGTGTACGCCCGAGCTAATCCTGACCCCACGCGTTCTCGCACGCGCTGAAATCCCGCGTGGCACGGTTACAAATTTTATGGCTTTCCCTTTACACGTCAAGCTAATAAATCGTCCCCGGCCGAATGAACTTTGGGCCGGTCGGGCTGCGTGAATCGATTGCTTCCGATTCATCCCGGCTGATAAAGAGTACCGTTGGACGCGCTTCGGCTTGTTTTGACTTGACGCCGAGACTTAATCTTCCGAACGCTTTCTTTTCAGAAATGAGACACGCTTCCATTTTCTCCTTTTCGTAATCGTATCTCGTGATTTAGCCACGCGATTAAACCACCTTGATTTTCGAGTGCACTTTGTATACTTGAATATTAAAGACGAAGTTGCTAATGTGCGCGGTCTTGATATCCGCACTTTAATCTTTCGTTTTATTCATGCTATATCGGATTGCAGCATTAAATCGATACTTTAATGAAGTTCGTTAAACTAATAATAAGCCGCTGCTTCCGAGCAAAGTCCAATCGGTTAGACCGTGAAAGACGCGACGTGATCGTTATTTAATTGCATGAAAATTACGCATATATTTGCGCGCGCTCTGCCGTCTAATCCTATAAGCAAATGCTCCCTCGTTTATTTACGGACGAACGTATTTCCACATTAATTCGTCACACAGAAGCGCCGCACAACTGCAGCGCGTTCAATAATATAAAACGACCGCGGACGTCGGTTTTAATCTAGGTAACACGTCGATTTCCCCTCTGAAATTATGATGCGCGTGTGAGAAGCGTGGCTTGTGGATGGGATATTTATCAAACACTTTGCGAGAAGTAATAAAAGTGACCGAGTTTTACGAGGAAGTCATTTATATTACTTTGGTGCTGAAGTTTCTCAATTAAAACGCACTCTGCAGAAAGAAACGAGTCCACGGGAGCGGAGCAGCAAGATAAACAAAAAGTGCCGGATTATATTTTCCGCTATATCGTGCTCTAAACAAGGAAACTCACGATGGTATTTCAACAACCTCGTCCAATTTTTCTTTTTTATAAATTGTAACCTGGATAAAAATAAGAGACACGTATTTCCTTATAAGTGCCGAATCGCAGGTTTAGCGAGGAAAACGTCCCCCTAAAGTCGGCTTCTTACGTTTCTGATATCTCTTAAAACGATGAGAGACAGGAAGAAATGTCAGAAGTTCAAATCAATGTATTACTTCGTTTACATTTGTTAATATCACTGCGTTGTTCTTTTTTCATTCTTCCTTACTTCTTGCACAAATAATAATTATGTCTAGCTATTTATACCGCATTGGATTGTTATTTAATCAGAACGAAGCATTCTACATAAGTCTCTTCGATATTTCGCCACAGATATTTTCCCGTATTTTTAGACGATATGAAAATGGACGAACGGAAGGGGAAACAATAAAAGGGAGAATTTAGAGGAATGTAAAATTCAAAGAAATAGAACCTCAAAGGATACGTGAAACGCATACGAATTCTTAAAAGGATTTTGAAGGACTCACCAAATGTATATTATGAAAATCTACTGCAAGACACAGTTCAAATATTAAGAATAATTTGCTTAATCCGCGCGCTCTTGAGATGCCCTTTCCGAAAACCGGAAATCCGAATCCTCAGGGGTCAGCAGTGTGGACATAAGCGCATGTGGAGGTCATGTGAGCGGAAAATAAAATAATAAAAATACTTCTGTGACCATAGAACCATTACGTAGCGCAGCTTACGACAGTTCTTTCGAAAGCATTTACAAAATAACGAGAAACGCTCTCTATGTAGGACGTTCCATTAAGATCCTGGGACCGCGAAATATCACAAATAAACCTCCTAGTCAATCCTCCTCCTAACAAATTATAACGAATTCTTCTGATTAATAAATTGTTATATCCCACTTCCTAAATCTGCGATTGACCACTAATAAGAAAGACAAGTGTTGTTTACTTTGATCTAGATTATATATATTCTAAGCGCATTAAAAAATTAGCGACAAACACTACTGGGTTTTCTTGTGAAAAATTGAGCGAAATTCTCGGGTGGCTTTCTGCAGATTCTTTCTCGACTCTCAGCTGTCTTCCTTGTCTATATTTTGTAACTGTCCGTTTGATCGTAAATGTAAGTCGTACATCGAGGAGTCTGCTCGAAGAAGGAGCGCAAAAAACAAGGAAAAGATAAATTAATCGTCATCCTCGCTCGTTCTTATAAGGTGAACTCCTCGAGTTAATTGTCAACTATTGCGTCTCTCTCTTTCTCTCTCTCTTTTGCCTCCCGATAACTCGCCGCGTGTTCCAGATGGATGGCAGTGAACTTTATGCGTAGATCATCAATTCTACCACAAATGGGCCCTTCTCACCGACCCGGACGACGTGGCTGGTGGGCCAAAGGGTTACTTGAAGTGCGACATAAGCGTCATCGGCAAGGGCGATACCGTGAAGATACCCCCGAAGAGCGAGAAGGACGAGGACGACATCGAGGGGAATCTTTTATTGCCGGACGGCGTACCGATCGAGAGGCAACGCGCCCGCTTCGTGGTGAAGGTTTACAGGGCCGACGGTTTGCCGAAGATGAACAGCAGCATCATGGCGAACGTGAAGAAGGCTTTCACGGGGGAGGTGAAGGACCTGGTGGACCCATACGTCCAAGTGTCCTTCGCCGGGCTGAGCGTAAGATCGACGACGCGTCCTTACGGCGAATTCGATGTAACGGTTAACTTTCGCGCTCGTTCGCTCAAAAATATTCACTTGCTGACGCGAGAAAATATCCGATTAATTCGAGCCACAGTTGCGCTATCGCTATCAGCGAATCACGCTATCAAGCAACGAGTTATCGAGTGCGCTAGACGTCACATGCCGGGGCGTTGCAGGATTTTTTTTCTGTTTATGGCGCTTCAGGGGAAAACCAGCGTGAAGAAGCACAGCTACGCGCCGATTTGGAACGAGCAGATCGTATTCACCGAGATGTTCCCGCCCCTTTGCCAGAGAATAAAAATACAACTGTGCGACAACGATCCCGTGCACGCCACCGTGATCGGTACACACTTCGTCGACCTGAAGCAGATAAGCAACGACGGCGAGAAGGGCTTCTTGCCCACTTTCGGCCCGGCGTTTATCCATCTCTACGGCAGCATCCGAGATTACAGCCTCATAGACGAGCACTCGACGTTGAACACCGGCTTGGGCGAAGGGATCTCCTACAGAGCAAGGTCACGATGCTGTCGTTATTAGAATGCGGATGCCCGCAGCGACTGAAGGTTTCCGTTCTAATCCTTATAATAACGGCAAACGATTGCATCATTAGGCTATTGATAGCGATACGGACCGAGATCAGCGACAACGTGGAAATGGCACCGTCGGAGGTCGAGATGGAGCCGACGGTGCCGATCAACGAGACCGCGTACGCGAGGAACGAGGAATTCTTCTTGTTCGCGACGATTATGGACGCCACGATGATCGACAAGAAGCTCGGCGACAAGCCGATGTACTTCGAGATTTCGATCGGGAACGCGGGCAACGCTCTCGACGGCCACAACGAGAGTTTCAAAGTAGGTGGTTCCGTATAATTAACTCCTCGGTAACAAAGCCGTTTCCCCGGGAAAACTTCTCACCAACCGGTGGAAACTTTTCTCGAGAGCACCCTTTCTATTCTCGAAATTGTTTCTCGATGAACATAAGGAAGAGAAATTTCATAGAGAGAGAGAGAGAGAGAGAGAGTGAAAATTCGAATTCCGTCTCCGGAGAGCTGCGTTTCGTTTGTGGTAGATGTGCGAGATGGGATCGAAAGGTGGCACGACCATGGAGGAGGACGACCTGCAGGAAGTACTCAGCGGGTCCTGGCAGAGCACCACCCCGGCTAATAAGCCGATGACGCACGATAAGATTTATTATTTCCTGCCGTACTGGGACGACAAACCGTGTTTGCACGTGCGTAGTATATGGCCGGATTACAGACGTCGGATGTACAACAGCAACATCATCGGCAAGATCGTCGATAAACTGGTGAGAGCTTGTGGCTTTAACACGTTGACTGCCGAACGGGATGACATTTGGCAGCTTGATTTCCGGAGCTGTTTTTAAATCAGCATGTTATTTTATGCTAATCAATTGTTATTCCCAGCACAAAACTCGCGACTGAAATTGATTTGCGTAAAAGAGAGATATCTTATGCGAGTTTACTCGTGGTTAATGTACGAAACAAAGAATTCTCGTCGCGGTAACTCGTAATTAACATGTTAATATATTGCCAACCTCGAGAATCTTGAGTTTCTGAAGCGTTGATGGCCGGTTGCTTTATTTCTTTAGGATGAGAGGCGATATTTTTGCAAATTCTTTATTCGACACTCCTTCATAAGAAATCATGTTTCAACGAATATCATCAAAACATTACTAATGTTATTATTACTTATTAACTTTAATTATTTAATTATGTTACTATTTTCATGATTATTTTACAGACGTTGTTGATGGATGTACAACAATTAAATTATCTTAATTATTATTATTAACTTTAACTGTTATTAACTATATATGAAAAAAAAAGGCTTAAAATATTACAAAATATATTTTATATATTATATATTCGCGATCTGTGTCTGTCGAGAGTTGATAAACAACTCTTGACTCGGATCATTTGTTGCACGTTTATCCGTCGTTCCGTTCGCCGATTCGAGGGAGGTATATTGTTTGAATCGATATCTGTTCTCCCTGGAGAGAAAGAGAGTCGGATCGTTTGTAGAGAGATGCAATTGTTATCGGATCAAAGTGACGCGGAAGGAATCGAAGTAACCGAATTGGATTTGCATAAAATCGACGCAGCTTCTCTTCTGCTCCAGGAAGAGGGATTATCGGAGGTGCAATCGCACTTGGAGGACTCGACGTGCGAGAAACTCCTGAAGACCACCCTGGAGGAATTGAGTGCCAACTGCAATCGCTACGTCAGCATCAGCAAGTCCAGCGTGACCGGTCCGGGCGTGGGGAAGACGAAGTTGGACAAAGAGCGCACGAAATTGTGCCAGCGGGAGCTGGAGAATATCGGGATCATGTCGCGTAACCTCAAGGCGCTCGTGACCAAGAGCAGCTTCAAGGAACGGCTAAAAACCGCGCACAATTACCTGCAGAAATTAAAGTTCCTCGTGGAGGATGTCAGTAGCGCGTTCAGTACGATCGTACACGGAGAAAAATAATTTAGAAGGACAGCTTTACGACAGGATGCTGTCGTAGAAAATAAATAAAAAGTGTATCAAGTGTTTCTTAAATACCGTTCAGTACTTCAGGAATAGATTTTCGAGTTCGTCATTTTGTAAAGAAAAGTTCGCGTCAACATACGTTCATTTCTTTCTGAAATGAACCTCAAAAATGAATTCTTAAAATATCGAGCGATATTTAAGTAACATCTAGTATATTCGTTGATTTGCTACGACGACGTAAAACTTGCTCACCCCCTAAATTATTTTTCCCCGTTGTAGCCGTGGCGTGTGCTGTCGCTTCACGGGATGAGATCGTTGGTTTTTCTCTTACAGCCGCAAGATTCCCTGCCGGACGTGTTCATCTGGGTGATCAGCTCCGGACGACGCTTGGCGTACCAGAGGATATCCGGCCGGGATCTCATCTACTCGGTGGTCGACGAAGAATGCGGCCGGCATTGCGGCAAAGTACAGACTATGTTTCTCAAGGTAGGTGTACGCAGAGTTAGGGGAAACTTAGAAGAAAGTTATTTTCTCTGAAAGCAGCTCCTTACCGTTACTTGCTTCATCTATTGAAAAGGCTACCTTGTTACCGTTACCATTATTGTCACTTAGGAAGCAGCGAGTCTTTGCAGTTTCTTTTACTTTCTTTCACTAAGTTCCTTTTATCTAGTTTCTCTCTCTTTCTCTCTCTCTCTCTCTCTCTCTTTATTTTCGTTTCGTTATCATTCGCCCCAAGTAGTTATTGCGCGAAGTCACGATTTATACTCGTTATCGTTACGCTGAAAATACAAAACGGAGAAAAATAAATCTAAATCGTTGCTAAGAAATATGGCCTGCGATGACTTGTAATTTTCCTCATTTTTCTCTCTTTTTTATTCTCCGATCAACCGGTCAACCGGATGTACTTTTTTCGAATCGACGCGCGATCTCGCGCTGTTCTCGCGTCGAGTGAATTCCATGCATAGCTTCCAGGCAAAAAGAGATTCGGACCGGCGGGATGGGCGATCCAGGCCAAACTGCAGGTCTACATGTGGCTGGGGATATTGAAGCACAAGAAATACTTTATCCAAGGTCTGCCAAAGGGATACGAAGTCAGCAATGAGCTGAGGAACGTGGAAAGGCCACGCGCATTGCCGCCCGCCGTGATCCATTATGCCCAAAAACACGTGCGTATCCCCTACGAGTAAGGGGCTCTCGTACACAAATTGCCGCAACCGTAAACGTGAGACGTAAACTTGAGCCGAGCAACCGATCAGAATATTGCTCTGGGTTTGTGTGCTGCGGAGGAAAGTAAAACTGACGGTAGATTTACGACGCGATACAAGAACGGTAAATCTTTACTTACGGTAAATTTAATTAAGGAGGTTGGAAGTTCAGGGCTGTTGCTCGGTGTCGTGTCTTCAATAACGCATTAAGGAAACCTCTTATAAATTATATATACATATATATATATAGTACAAGATTTTTCGAATTCTTATCAAACTTATTTTGCCTCATACCTCCTTAAGATTCGCCCGATTGAAATACGAATTACTCGATTTGAATCCTAGCTCTATAGTTATTTTTATCTTCTTCTAAATAGTACAATCCTAAGGCAATATCCCGATTGGTTCCTTTAGATCTGAAGTTTACGTCTCACGTTTACGATCATGGCAATTCGCCATAAAGCGGGAGCCTTGGCAGCCACGTTGTGCGAATAAACGCAAATAAACGCTGTTGCGAATTGATCGGCAGAAATTTCAATTGCGGGCCCACATGTACCAAGCGAGATCGCTAATCGGCAGCGACGCGTCCGGCTTGTCCGACCCCTTCGCGAGGGTGATCTGCGGGGAGTTTTGCAAGTGTACCCAGGTGATCGACGAGACCCTCAGCCCAACGTGGGACGAGCTGCTGCTGTTCGACGACATCCTCGTCTACGGCACCGCCGAGGAGATCAAAAAGGACCCGCCATCCATCGTCGTCGAGTTGTTCGATCAGGACAAAGTGGTGAGTCGGCTCTGTTGCATTCTTCCACCGTGTGTACTTTCGTTTCTCAGTTTAGCGTCTGATTATCTCACTGTCGAGCGAGAATACCGTCGAGAGTCCTTCGGGGTTAAGTACAGCAAGAGCCAGATAGCTCGTTTACTTTCGTTTCCGAGCGCAGCTACTTCGCCTGCCGAGATCGCTCGCGAATAGCCGTCCGTGCGAATCGCGGGATGTGGTAGTGTAGATGCGATTGCGATTGAATTTCTCTTTGGTTGCTCATCGGCGTCGTGTGCGTTTTGAATTGGACGTGTATGTGATTAAGCGCGAAACACGCGGAGACGTTGCATTGCCACTTCTATGATTTCGTAATCATTTTTTTTGCAGAGTCATGTTGTTACTATGGACATAATACTGCATGAGGGCTCTGCTTTGACAGTTTGTATACAACATATTGACATTTATACTGGTCGATACCGATCCGTGCCGTACAATACGATCACACGTCGTATAAGACACTTGACCGCTCGCACCAAAGACACGCATGACACATATACACTTGACTTGCACGGCACTCGAATTCTTTAATGGCACTCAATTTCACTCTTCCTTTCTCTATCTTTCTCTTTCTCTCTCCTTCCTTTTTTTCCCTCTCTGATATCGTTACAAATTATATGTGTGACAACGAATTCATTCACAGACTGTTCTTCTATGTCAATTCATCTGACACTCCTTATTGCGTGCGATTTTGAATGAATGTTCTACATTTATGTTTCTTTTCTATATCTTAAAGTATTATTATATATTAAAGTATATATTATATATTTACTTTTTAGTTTATTTTGATATTTACTATTTAGTTTATTTTAAATCCTCCATCTCTCATATATTTTATATTATTAGTCCAATTTTATGTCCGTCCACCTGCGATTAGTTTTATTTTAGCATTGTACACTAAAAGGATTTTCCGATAAAAATTATTATATTATTATACTATTAATACATCTTTTAATAATTATTCGAACGCGAAATTTTAATTTCTATTAGTACACATACATATTTGATCTTAATTTTGCGTATTACTATTATTCAATTTATAGTTTATTATTGATTTAATCAATTTATAAATTACATAGCTTATTCTTATTAATTTATTAATTTATAGCTTACTTATTGATTTCAAGTGAATCTTTGTCTAAATTTCTTTCAGTTTGGCTTAAATTGATTCATATTATCATTCATTATATTTGCAAATCATCATTTCTTGAATTTAAATTCCGTCTGCCCGAAGGATTTTACCCCAGAACAAATATAATCTGCATATCTACCTGACCTTTACGTAAACTTGACATTTGGGGTTTTAATACTTCCTCACGATGCCGCGAATACCTTGACCGTAAACAAAGTAGAATTGGTTGAGTTTAAACTACACCGTCTCTCCTCTCTTCCTTCGCATCTTCATGAGACACACAGTCAACCAATGACACTTGGTAATTGGTTCGTGTCAGCATTTCCACGTGACTTTTCAGGGAAAGTCGGAGTATATCGGCCGAGCGATCGCGCGGCCCCACGTCAAGCTCGCCGCCGAGTCCTATATTCCTCCGCAATATCCGCCGTCCTTGGAATGGTACGAGGTGACGAGAGGAGCCTCGAGGGCAGGAGAACTTTTAGCGGTCTTCGAATTGTTGGAATATCCCTCCACGAAGGACTTCGGATTTCCCACTTTGCCGGATCCCAAGGACCCCAGCTGCGGGTCGCAGACGCCGGGCTCTGGACAAGATCAAGGCCCGATTCTCCCGGTGCCCGTTGGCATCCGACCGACTTTGTCGAAATATCGGTAATAATCGGCGATTCTCGCGAAAGTTGAAAGCGAGCGAGCTGGAGACCCAGCAAACAATTAACAGTAACATTACATCAACATTATGATATAACGTGCTTTTTTTCTTCCTTATATATATATAGTTTGTATATATATAGTATATAATAGTATGTTATTGTTGGTATCCACTAGGAAACTTCACAATTTTGCATTATGGACGATTTCAGAATCGAGGTGCTCTTTTGGGGTTTGCGGGACCTGAAGCGAATCCATCTGCTGACGGTCGACAAGCCTCGCGTGGACGTCGAATGTGCCGGTCACATTCTCTACTCGTCCGTGATCGCGAACGCGAAGAAGAACCCGAATTTCAACACGCCCATCAAGTTTCTGGAACTGGAACTTCCCGAGCAGGAGCTCTATCGACCGCCGTTGACGATAAGAGCGGTGGATTGCCGAAGTTTCGGCAGGTACACCCTCGTCGGCACTCACACCATTAACTCGATCCACAAATATATGTATTATCCCCTGACGAAAAGGGCAAAGGATGCTCAGGAGAGGAAGAAGAGCTTGTATCAACTGCAGTGCACGGGTAATTGCATTTGCAATTGTGCTCGTAAAGCAAAAGAATTCCAACCAGTAGTCAATTTTTTGTATAAATTGTGGATTAAGTTTGCAGCGTTTTCCAGATTTTCTTTTTACTAACTAATTAAGAAAAATCTCCAATGCAGCCCTCGATCAGTCTAAATCGAGGTACCAGCAAACTTCGTTGCCGGAATCACTGACCGACCTGGAGTCCAACAACGGCGACACCATCATCACTCTAGGATTCGAGCCAGGATGCGGACCTACGAAGAAGGACAAGACCGAGCAGAATTTACGCAGGAAGCAGAGCTTGGCCAACGACAACAGTATGGGTATGCGGGCAGAGTAATCCTTCATTATATATTTAATTATTATCTATTATTCTCAATCATTTGTTTAATCAAGCGACAGTAATATTTATTGAATTAAAATCGAGCGAATCCGATAACGTACATGAGTCCTTCAAGCCATTACGTTTTCAGGCGATTTGGGCATATTAGAGGACGGCGACGGCTGTCAGGACTGGTGGACGAAGTATTTCGCCTCCGTGGAGACGATGATCGAGGAGAACAAAGAGCTGCGCAAGGAGAAGTCCATATTCCAGAACCAGCCGAACGGAACGCTGACGATGTTCTTGGACGAGGCCATCGCGCAAAGCCACCAGCCAGCTACGGGCGAGAAAAGTCCCGGGAATACCACGAAGAAGCTGTTCGGCCTGAAATCAACGGCGAATGCAGCGAAATTCGTCTCGAAACTGAGCCCGAAGCACACCGCGCATAAGTCGAATAAGACCGCGCTCCTCAAGATCTATCCCAACGAGCTGGAGGCGCAGCCCGAGTTCGAGCAGTTCAAGGAGTGGCTGCACACCTTTGAACTGTATCGAGGTAAGAAGACAGGCGACGAGACCGAGGACGAGTCGAGGATCGTCGGCAGCTTCAAAGGCGCACTGAAGGTGTACAAGTGGCCGTTGCCCAAGGACCTGGTGGACCACACCGTGATGGGCTTCGATCCGCAGTACGGCTTCTTCCAAGGCGTCCCGTCGAACGAGCCTATCCACGTCCTGGTGCGAGTCTACGTTGTCAAGGCGAATGATCTGCATCCCTGCGACCTGAACGGAAAGGCCGATCCCTACGTGGTCCTGCAACTGGGAGGCAAGAGGATCAGCGACAAGGAGCACTACGTATCGAAGCAACTGAATCCTGTTTTTGGAAAGTATGCGGAAACCACCTATAAAAATCTTTCTGTTCCTCTTCCTGTTTATCGAAATTCTCTTCGAATAACAGCTTTTGAATGAGCGCCGTTCAAAGTTGAATTAATGTATTAGATTGCGCGTGAGCCGGGAATGTTACGCACCTCGCAGAATCGCGAAATGTCACATTAATTATGGTAGGCTGTTTCTCTTCTATCTCGCTAAGAATTTTATTACACAGCTCAGGATATATTAATTTATCGCTATTTTGAATAGCAGACATTCGTATAAATAATTTATAAACATGTTTCATCGGCTTTTTCAAGGCCACAAATATTTTTAAAACAGTTTTGTCAATATAAGAAACACGAGGACTAATATACCCACGTAATATTATAATGATATTATCTTAACGGCAGCATCTCATAAATTCGATTGCCCCGAATTCAAGGTGTTTCGAGATAGAGGCGACGTTTCCGCAGGATTCGCTGCTGACCGTACAAGTCCTCGACTGGGACTTGGTCGGAACGGACGATATGATCGGCGAGACCAAGATCGACCTGGAGAATCGTTTCTACAGCAGGCATCGCGCTACGTGCGGCCTCGCGAAGAAATACGACGAGTGAGTCTTGAGAGAATAACAATTATTGCGACGTGCACTGCGAATAAGACCTTCGCAATGAAACGACACGCGTCACGCGATCTAACAATGATGACTTTTAAGCCCGTCGCGCCAGTAATAAGCATCTATTTAAAACTGGCGAATCTCCCTATGAATAGAACGAAGTATCACGTCACGATTCGATTTTAACGAGCTTCAAAGCGAACGTGCCGGGCTAATGACTATTTTTACACAGTAATCTCTTTTAATCTAACACGCGTTTGTGCAAAACTTTTTCTGTCCTTTCTTTTCAGGTCATGTTATCTTTAATACATTAATTCTGCGTTAACGTTGTTCGTCATTATTTATGCTCCGCGTGATGTATATCTATTAAGGTGCAGGGAATAATCGCGTAATGCCACCCAGAATACGTTTTTACGTCGACGTGCGGAATGAGGTAGCTAAATGCGAGTAACGTAAATGAATACTGATAAACGAAATTGATCGTCTGTTATTTCCGCTCCAGATCTGGCTATAACAAGTGGAGGGACGCGATGAAACCGACGCAGATACTTTCGAAATTGTGCAAGGACGGCAAAGTCGATGGACCGGTTTACTCTCACGGGCGCGTCACTATCGGCAGAAAAACTTTCTCCCTTTCGAACGAGGAAATGGAATATTACATGCATACAAAAGGTACGACCATTCCCACGTTCAATTAATCTTATTAATGATGTCGTGTAACTCATTAATCATAATATATCTCATATCTAAATGCAATTTAAATTGAGAAAATACTAAATTACATTTCAAAACTAAAATATTAAAATACTAAATTATACAGAAATTATATTATGATATATATATATTTTTTTTTCTTTTTTTTGGGGGGGGGGGGAAAGTACTGAATTATAATTATCTCGTCACATGAATGATCTTCATTGCTTATTTCTCTAGGAATGGAAGAACACCTCGCCTTGGCGGTCCTTCACCAATGGAACGCTTTCCCGCGAATAGGATGCGCATTGGTGCCCGAACACGTGGAAACTCGACCACTCTACAACCCCGAGAAGCCCGGAATCGAGCAAGGGAAATTGGAAATGTGGGTGGACATGTTTCCGATGGACATGCCCTCGCCCGGACAGTCCATCGAAATTTCGCCAAGAAAGCCGAAGAGTTACGAGCTGAGGATTATTATATGGAACACGGACGATGTCGTGTTGGAAGACGATGCTTTCTTCACCGGCGAGAAGATGAGCGACATTTACGTGAAGGGGTGAGTTCCTCATTTCGATAGGAAGACGCTGGATTTTCCACGTGCAAAAGAAAGAGACGTAATATGTCATTTATTGATTCCACTTACCGTGATGCGAAAAATATAAAAGACGAAAATATAAGAAACTATAAAAAAGTCGTTAATAATATTTATGAGCCAGTAAAAGCCTAAGCACAGTTAATATAGTGTAATTTAATTAAATAATTATTGAACACGATATATTTCTTAATAGAAACAATAGTAATTATGAAGCGTTTACACTTCATATTTACTAATATTCATGTAAGAAATATCATCGTGTTCAACAATTATTTAATTAAATTGCACAATGTCAAACGTGCTTAGGCTCTTATTGACACATATTATTAATGATTGAATATCAGCAGAGCTTTTTGCTAAACTTATTATAAAAAAATATTCGACGTCGCGTTTTCAACAGATGGCTGAAAGGGCCGGAGGACTGTCAGTCCACCGATATCCACTATCGTTCATTAACGGGCGAAGGAAATTTCAATTGGCGCTTCATATATCCATTCGATTACCTGGTGGCGGAAGAAAAAATCGTTATCAATCGGAAGGAGAGTCTGTTCAGCTGGGACGAGACAGAATGCAAGATACCGGCGCGTCTCGAATTGCAGGTAATCCGCACGTGCCGTTCGCTGTTCTCGTTGAATATATTAAATAAACTAAGGCAGAATATATAACGATTTGCTTGTTATTTCAAGGTCTGGGACGCGGATCACTTCTCGGCGGACGATTTTCTGGGCGCGATCACCCTCGATCTGAATCGGTTCCCGCGCGGCGCGAAGAACAGCAAGTTGTGCTCGTTGAGCATGCTGAAGACGGACGGCTCTGTGCCGATGGTGAATATCTTCAAGCAGAAACGTATAAAGGGCTGGTGGCCTTTCTACGTGAAGAAGGAGAACGAGGATATGGAACTGACGGTGAGTTACTCGGGCAGCACAAATTAGTTGGCTAATTGTTACTTAGGTTTCGCCAAAGGTTAGCCAACCAATTTGTGCTGCTTGGATAAATAGGTGTCGTATTAGTTCGTAGAACTCGTTAGCCGGAGATTTAATATCATTATTTCACAAAAATATTGTTTTATGTCTAATTGCTTTCGCAGAAACATCATCATCCTCTCTCTTCAACCCTGTCGCTCGTTAGTTCTTAAGACAGTTGTCTCGCGACAGTGTTACCGGAAAGAGGTTGAATTATTTCAATTTAAATAAGACGTATTACGATATATTTTACGATATATTTTAAATATCTCGAAGATATACATTTATCGAGATCTCCCATGTATTAATTAGTTCCCTAAGTTACTCTGTGTTAAGTTTGATTCGTCGAATATACACGATTTTCTTCATGTCTCGCACAGGGCAAGGTCGAGGCTGAGATACATTTACTCACGAAAGAGGAGGCCGAGAAAAATCCTGCTGGTTACGGCAGAAACGAACCGGATCCATTGGACAAGCCAAAGTCAGTATAACGATCATAATAATAAAATACACGACCTCATCCGTTCCATATCCTTTCATGTTCGATATATCCTTAACTCTTATATTTCTCCGATTCACAGTCGACCGGACGCGTCCTTCATGTGGTTCCTCAATCCGCTGAAGTCTATCAAATATATAGTTTGGCACAACTACAAGTGGGCTATACTCAAGGCTATAGTAGCGATCGGATTGATCGTACTTATGCTCTTATTCTTTTACGCTATACCGGGCTACTCCGTGAAGAAGATCCTGGGGGCTTAAATCATTCGTCGCAATGTAGGATATAATCGTTGTTTCCGGTCGATTGAAAAACAATCCGACGAATCTCGAAGATGTAGTCGTGTTACTGTGCTGTATTACGTTTCGTGCGCAAACAAAAAATGTAGCTTATATAGCTAAGAAATCTCTATTTGATTAGCTCATAGTGGACCAACGTGACACCGGAAATAGTCGCAGGCTATGACCATGTTGTAAATAACTCATGCACAATGAGACTTTAGAAGAGAAAACAGAAAGAGAGAAAAAATATAAAAAAAGACAAAAAACATTAGCGGCAGAGTAGCGGCTTACATATATACATATATATATATACACACATAAAATGATCTATTTTTACTCGTATAAAACGTTCTGTCACATCGCGACGATCGTGTTTCGCGGGCGAAAACACAGGAAGACCACTCTCCGTCGTCATCGAATTGCTCATTGTACATTCCGAGGAAGAGAAAGATATATATGTATAAAAAAAGGAAAGAAATTAACAAATAAAACACTCAGGAAGGTGTAACATAATAAAGCACTCTGTGTAACTAACGTTATCACTTTTATTTAATTTATCAATTAGTTATTAGTTAACTTATCAACATAGTCTTGTTCAAACTTCTTTTTTCTTTTCAATCTGTAGACAGCGCTGCGAACTTATTAGCTACGGGCGGTATATCATGTTCCTCATTGGACGGCCCGGTGGAGTTCACCACGTCTCCGATGGCTTTTTTATGTCCCTTTTTGTCGTTGTATATTTCTTCTTCGTCCTCCTCCGAGGACATGTACGTAGTCGGTGTGTCGCAATCATCCATCGCTTGATTCCTGGCTTGGATCCACCTCACCGTCTCAACGTCCGCATGACTTTCCCATTTTTCTAGTAAGAACAGAACAAGAATTCACTCTCCGTACGTATCACGCGGGTAACACTTAAATCGTCGTAAACGTAACGTTCCTCGAGCAGCTCTTCGCCAAGGAAATCATTTCGTTCACATGCTTACAAATGGCTGATGAAAAAGGACGAAGAAGAAGCGCAATACCTTTCTGAGCGGTCCAGTTCGGCGGATATATGTACAAGCAAATCTTTCCCTCTAGTGCTAGCCGCAACAGCGAATTCGCGGCTCTGTAAGTGTCCAATCTGGCCGCCCGAGCAGTCGTGAAGCTCCTCTTCATGGCCCAACCGTCGCAGATGTCCATAGCCGACCACGTGTCGTCGTTCTCCGGATGTGGAATCCTCAACAGCTTCGGCAGATTTACTCTCTCGGCTAAAAACTTCACGGTGGTGTACGGTTCTCTGACCTGAGCGATCGGGAACGAGCCCATCAGTATCTGCAACTGTTTGGGCACCACCGAGGGAAATACCAAGCCGGGACAATCGCACAGACACACGGTCTTTGTGAGATAAATGGTCTGGAAGTGCTTGGTGTGGCCGGGCGTGCGAGACACGCTCACGACTTTCTTGCCTGTAATCGCACAAAACGACGGAGCTTCGTTGAACGATCGTAGGATCGTGAAATTTTTATTGCGGGGAAAAAGGGGCCAGAGACTGAAATTTCTTCAAATGAAGGAGATTTAATAATGAATTTGAATAAATATGTATGATATATCTCTACGAGTTAAGTGCTCCTGTACCCAGGTAATTTCGATTTTTTTCACTGCGGCCTTTAAAATACTTTCTTCTAATACAGTCTACTTCAGATGATTGAGAATCAGATGTTTAGACCTGAATGTAAGATATAACTGAAATAGGTAAACCTGTGAGACAAATTTTAAGCAAAATCTGTGGTGAATTTTTGCCAGCAGCTTTTGTTAGCAATACAACAGAATCCGCTAGCGGAATATGATGGTGGATCGATGGTAAAAATTGAGCCAGAGTCTTCCATAATCATTTAAATGGAATTAAACTTTTCAAAGATATTGACGCATACGTATATACGTTTACGTACGTTCTTCATTTCAATTCAAACATTGTCGACAAAATGTAACGAATATTACTCTGAATAAATACTCGCCAGAAATTCCACAAAAAAAAAAAAAAGAAATCTCATTTTACACGATTGATAAATATCATATTTGTCACTTTAAAATGATGCCAAAATAATGCTAACGTTTTGCTTACTGAGAAGCGAAAAGAAATGGATTTCTCACATACCCATCAGCGCGTTCATTAACGACGACTTCCCGACATTCGGCGTCCCGATGCATCCGATGGTCAAGACGCCGTTCTTGTACTTCTCATGCTGGAAGTAAGTAGTATCCTCCTTCTCGATCGTCACGTTATCCTTGCGATCTATGTCGTCTAAATCGTACTCCGAGTGCATCTCCTCCTGGATCTTGTCGTGCCAGGAACTCAAGTCGACTTTGTCCGCGACGATATCCTTGCAAGCCTCCAACAACTTCTGCGCTCCTTCCGCTGCCATCTTTAACTTTCCTCTCCGGCGTCTCCTCTTTATACCTTCGTCGTTGTCCGTGTTGCCGCGGAGATTGTAAGTGGGATACGACGTGAACATTAAGACGTGCAGTTTTGGGTACTGACTGTGGAAGTACTCCTTCCAAGCCACCACCAAGGCCGGCGGCGCCAGGTCGACCTTATTCAACACCAGGATCATGTCTTTCTGCAGTTTGTTCGTCACGTAATCGTACAAATAAGGAGGAAACATCAGGACAGGATACCGGATGTCAACGATAATCAGCAGAATATCTGACATCTCTAGAACCCTCCACAACTGCCGCCAAGTCTCCAGATTCAATTCGAAATAACTAAACTCGCCTAATTCTCCCACACTGTTTAAATATTCCTGAGCAAAAAGAGTTAACAAGGTGCGTTAGAATTGAAATCTTACCTGATATCAAGTTGCGTGAATACTCACTCTAAAGTACTTCTGTTCTCTCATCTCTAATTGATCCTTTGTCATATTAAAGTCCCACGGTGGCCGCTTAGGCATGTCGATTTCAGGTGGAAAATAATTGTCAGAGACTTCCTGATCCTTGAGGCTCACAGGTTCGACGCTTCCTAAGGCTTGTTCCTTGCGCTTTCGCAGCTCCTCTCTGCTCTCTTGAAAAAATTGTAACGTATACCTATTTCTGGACGACTTGCCATTATCCTTTGGTTGCTTATTTATTTTCTGCACCTCCCTCTCATGCTCCATATTGCTTGCATTGCTGGAGCACTCATCGTCATCGGAATCTTGGTTTGCTATAAATATAAATGTCGTTTTGTATCTACCGTATTGACTGATACGTCGCAATTTACTCCAGTGTGTACTTCAAGCAGAGATGTTTATCTTCAATACACACAGCTATTGTAGATAACCGAAGTGACGCTAAACTTATCAGAAACTACGGATACTGATAAATATCTACCAAGTAAGACTTGTCGATGTTGCCGCTGCTTTTTAGCCTGCATCTGCTGCTTCTTGGCTTTGCCGCTGAACGGAGTTTTTCTCCTTCCCTGAGGCATGTTCCTGTTATCTCGTTGTCACTCGGAAAAGAATCTCTCCCGTTACTTTTCGCAGACACCGGAGTGTCAATCGCGAGACTCCCACCTCACGTACTACGTTATTTCAAATTTATCATTTGTGCTGCTCGATCTCTCGGAGAGTCGGCGCTGGCGTTAGTTAGTTCGTATATATATGTATATATATATGTTACTCGCGTGGCGTCAGTGTGTATACATATTACATATATATATGTGTGTATGTGTCCATCCGACGAAGCCGTTGTCAAGGCACTCAGTGGAACTGTAGCAGCTGTGAGTAAACGTAAACGACCATCTGATCGGCGGTCGAAGGCACACTGCACGCAATGAACAGTCACGTGTCCTCGCGCGCACGTGGTACGTTACGATCCTCTACTACGTCTGACAGCGAATCGATTCGCCTCGCCTTATAGAAACGAACGCGTCCCAAAACCCGTACTCGACGAGTCGAGTAGGATTTAATTAACCAATCATGATTAAGGAATCTTTGCTCTTTTATCCCGATTGGTCGATTAAATGCTGTCCCACCTTTCGAGCGAGGTTTTCGAACGCAGCCGGACAAGCCTTGACGTCTAGTGACTTAACGGGAACCAGTCGGCCCACTTGGAAGTAGCCGGACGAGTCAAAGTGCGGTGGGAGATCACTAGAGACCGGTACGAGAATCGCGTCCTGTCTGTGTCGTTCCCCACATCTATGCCTGTACTATCACCAAGCAACACAACTTAACCTCACCGAGCGGAGTCAAGCGGAGATCACGCTTGTTTTGTCAGCTAGCAGGGACCGTGAGTCGCGAAAAATCATGCCGATGCAATGGCAAAACTTCCTCGACGTTCTCGGCCGCAAAATGCGCTCCTCTCGATTGGCCAGTGACATAGCCCTGAAGACCAAGATCAATCGCGAGGACGAGCTAATGTCATACTTGGCGACCGATCATGAAATTATGTGAGTACGTTCGTATCGCTCCACGCCTCCTCGAGGATCTTCGCGTGCACGCGGCGATCCTTCTCCCCCTCCCCCCCCCGGTCGAGCGTTATTTCTCCTCCAACCAAGTTCCTTCCAACACCGACGCGCGACAATAAACAATTCACCCGTCGTCCGTGCACACGCTCTCTCCGCGCTCCCTTTTCCCGTTCCGGCGAGACTCCCTTTTTGCCTCAGCATCCTAATTAGCAGCTTCAATTAGTCGCGTAGTGTTTTTGCTCATCACCGCGTAGATCGAATCACCTTGTTCCCTTTCCTCGTTACGCCCGTTAATTAATCAGCTGCGGTGCGCGCTCTCGTGTGTGACAACGGTCTTCGTTATGATGCAGAAAGCTTATATCTATGTGGCTAGACGAGACGTATAGCAAAAGAGAGGCCAAGTCCTTGGAGAAGGCGACGTTGTTTAAGTTGGTCGGTAATAGGGAGTTCCAATCGAAGAAGTATGCCCTGTCAGTGAGCACGTACACGAAGAGCGCGATATACGCGCCGGCGGACAGCGAGGATCTCTCCGTAGCGATCGCTAACAGGTCTGCCTCTTTGTTCTACCTGGGCAAATATCACGTGAGTACCAGGACCGAACAGTAGCTAAGAGTCGCGATGTAGATTGTAAGTTGCAGCCTCCTTCTCCTCGAGAGAGACAGCTTACTCCCCTGATTTCTCATTCATCTCTCTGTCTCTCTCTCTCTCTCTCTCTTTCACCTGCGATTGAATCGTCTAAGGGTAACTCTCACCAACCTCTGATTGATCTAATCGACGACTTAAAATCGCTGTCAGTCCGAAATATCACCCGCTCTACTTGCCTGCGACGCAGATTTAGCGGGGGATTATTGACACGCCGAACGTCGAGCTACGGAAAACTGGAAATCGACGTTGGCAATTCTCGTTATTACTCATCGGTCAGTTTAATCCGAGAGTCTGTTTAGAGTCACCCTGAAACCACGAGAGCCCATTTTCCGCTGTAAATGTAATTGATCGGCTTGATTGTGCACGTCGACGGCGAAGGAGTGCATCAAAGACATCGAGTTGGCGACTAAGTTGAAGTACCCCCGGAATTTGTGCTACAAACTGTACGTACGCGCGGTTCAGTGTTATTTAAAGCTAGGTAAGAAAGAGTACGCCAGGGCGGCGCTCCATCAGCTGCGTCTTCTGATAAACGACGACATGCCAAACGCAAAGAAAGGCAGGTATACAGTCGAGCCCGAGCGTAAAGACGAGAGAGAAAAGGCGGATCGTTCGAAGCGGACGGTAGCGCTCGCCGATGTAATCACGAATCGATCAACTTCTTTTAGAGGCCCTAGAGAAGCAGCTGGCTCAGTTGTCGTCCTCCGTGTCGCGCATGGTGGACACGGGCGACGATGTGACGGACATCACGGAGGCTCATTCACTGCCTGAAATCTCGTTCGGCGAGAACCCGAACTTGCCGTCCGCGTCGGCGGCCGTAGACGTTAAATATACGCCGCAGAAGGGCCGGCACGTAATAGCTAATAGAGACATCAAGAAGGGTCAGACTCTCCTCGTCGAGAAACCCTTCAGTTTCGTGTTACTGGAGTGCGACGGCATAAACGACTTGTGTGAGAATTGCTGCCGGTCGTACGGCAAAAATCCCACACCGTGAGTCCCTCTCTAACTCTCGAATTCTCTCGCGCTGACTTCGAGGCAAATTCGATGAAATCTACGAATGTATTAATTATTTATAATCAGAGCCCTGCGAGTTAAAGCTCGATAGTATCCGATTCGGCTCGATTCATTGGCATTGTTTTCCATTACTGCAATAAAAGAGGAAACAGATCTAAGGAGTGTAAGCGGCCAAGGGATAAAGAACGCTCTAATGCAGAAGTAACGCGGCCGGCTGCGTTATTGCTGTAGAATTAAAGTTGTCGTTTTCAATAATAACTAGCGACGGTTCTAATTTGCATATCGGAATATTAAGCGCTATATATTAAAATATAAATACGGGAAGGTCTTTCCGGGAAATCTACTTTCATACTTACTATTTAAAATTTGCATTAATCAACTGTGTAGCGAACGTCTAAAAATAGAGTAAATAGTAAACTTTCCAAATAGAAGTATTTGATTACGGTAAAACGTAACTTGGATCATTTAGGTGTATCGCTTCGCACGTGAAAGTACAATAATTTAACGACACAATCCAGTCCTACCTGTCTTGGAAAAGCCGTCCGTCTTGGAAAAGCCAAACCCGAGTATGACTAACCAGTTTCTCGTCGACAAAACGATCCGAGCCAGATTCGGAGATCTCACTTTAGACCAAAGCGGATATAAGCTGAGCTCGATTATATTCAATAATATCACGCATCCAGCCGGATCAGCTACTGTTGGGGCTTGATTTGCAAAGGCTCTGCTTACAACCGTAAGAGCCGTATCAATTCACGCGACGTGCGCAAGAAACGTTTGTATACGTGTCGCAGGTGTTCAGGCTGCCTCAACACATTATTCTGCGACGCGAACTGTTGGGACGAGGCGTACTCGTCGTACCATCGCTGGGAATGCGCGGGCAATCAGATGGGTCTCTGGCAGCAAATCGGGGTGGCGCACTTGGGCTTGAAGACGCTCCTCAAGTGCACGACGACGAACGACAGTAGCATGTTTAACAGCATACAGCAGCTAGTGACCTGTTTCGATAATCTCACGGCGAACGACCTTATTGTATATGGAATCGTGAGTGACATTATTTACGCGCACGCGCGCGGGGAAACGGCGGACGATGATGATGATGATGATGATAATGATGATGATGATAGTGATAATAATAATAATAAAGAGTGGATATACATGTTATATTGCGAGATACGGTAGTGCGCGCGGTAGAATCTCATTAGGACTTTCTAAGGCTTCACCCAGGTATCCCCTTTTTATGATTTCTTTCAGACGGCAACTATGCTCACACTGTATCTAACAAAGTACACAGATTATTTTAAAGTTTTCAATATCAGAGAACACCTAGTGTCGAAGTTTACCGACAACACTTTCAACTTCAACAATGATCTCGCGTCAGAGAGTGATGAACGAGTATATGTAAGTTCTCTACTACTGAGGCACGTTTTACAGCTTATTTGTAACGGGCATGCTATCACAAAGCTAAACAAGATAGCATCAGATAAAGATAAGCTCTGTGTCGAGCAACAAGATAGAATAGCTACAGCGATTTATCCTTCTGCGAGCATGATGAATCATTCTTGTGATCCTAATATAATTACTAGGTAATATATAGACTCCTTAGATTACGAGAAAAAAAAAAACATAAATAATAAAAGACAATAAGTCGTTCATTGCGTATACATGAAACATAAGACGGACACTCGCCCGTTGATTAACGTTAACGCTGTTGTCCCCCAGCTTCGTGGACCAATATTTAATAGTAAGAGCCATGAAGGATATCGCGGCCGGTGAAGAGGTTCTCAATTGCTATGGTACGCCGAAAGAGATGCTGGGCTAACACGTTGAGCGTCGCGTCACCCGGGTGACGTGTGAGTTCCCGCAGGATCCCCGATAAGAAACGATTTTTGCCGAATATTTGGAAGAATTTCGAGGAAATGTAGAAAGAAACTGGCGAACTGCGAAAAACTAGCGATCGTTTTCGAATAGAAAAGGAAACAATAGAATGTCGCATTACGTAGGAAAAATCACACATCAGAAGAAGATCTCGGTTCCCGCGACTGAATAGGGACCAGATGAGAACTCGGTGACAAGAAATGATATCTCCGCTACCGCGACTGAGAACATTCGCGGGCATTCGTGAACATCGAGTTGCGTGAAAATTCGATTGGGAGCAATTGACTGAGTGGGAAACCTGCAGGAATCTCCTTCCGTTTCTACGACCGAGTTTTTGGTCTGGTCCCTAGGCAACGGGACTTTCAGCTAACGGGCATGTTTTTTTTCCATGTGGACGTAAACATTTGTCGAGGAAAATATCATTAACACACACACACACACACACAGCGTGAATTTGTCGGGCCTGACGGGACTCACACGTGAATACGTGCGTGCAATCAACGTGTTAAGCGCAAATCCCGCCTCGTCTCGCCAGACGTTACTTTCTCACCCTCGACTGTTGTTGCGACAGGGCCTAACTTCCGGAGAATGTCGAAAGAGCACAGATACGAGATCCTGAAGAACCAGTACGGCTTCACGTGCAGATGCGAGCCGTGCGTTATGCCGGAGTACCAGAACTTCATGGTAAACTATCCGTTCCCGTGCGTTGTCCCTTGGTGTTACGACGGTGTCGCGGCCCTTGATGGAACCTAAGTGAGCTTCGTACGCCTTGTTCACACAGGATAGATTTCAAGCGATCAAGTGCCCGGAATGCGGCGGCGCGTTGGAGGAGTTTCACTCTTATTCCATGCACTGCCTAGACTGCGGCGCGACGCCCGTCGTTAATTGTCAAAACGAGCTGAAGAACGCCGTGACCGCCTTCGACGCGGCGCAAATTTATATCGAGCTCGAGCGGGAGGAGGAGGCGGTGGTGAAGTTGAAGGAGTGCTTGAGTATCAGGAGGAATGTACTGTACAAGTATCATCAGGATCTCACCGCCACCTTGGACATACTCGGAAAAGTGTATGCCATTATGGGTCCGTATGATCGATCGTCTCCGTATTTTCTCGCGCGCGAGACGCGCCAAAATAACGCGTATTAGTATACACATATGCGCACGCACACACGCACGTAAAATTGATCGATTCTTGGTTTCAGGACGATGGCTTGAGTCTATTTCGTACATCGAGCACAGTATCGCCGCGATCGAGGAACGATACGGCTCTTCGAGTATAGAAGTGGCTAACGAATTGAATAAATTAACGGACATATGTATTAGATATCTGCAGGAGGAGCCTAATAAAACGACGAAATGGTACAAGTGAGTATGCTTGCATTCGCGCGGATTGCTTTCCCCACGGGTTGCGGCAAGCTCGCACGATGACTTATGTGCCTCGTGCACATCGTCTGGTTGCAGAAATATTTTGAAAAAAACGCGCCGGTACCTGGACCGTGCCGACGAGATCGTAAGTTTCACATACGGCCCGTGGCACGAGATTTGCCAGGAGATCAACGAGAAGAAGAAGACGCTCGCTGTTATTTTGAAAGACTACGATATCTAACGCTAATCTGTAAATCGTGTGAAATACGAGTGAATAAATGCTGCACGGCAAAGCTTTTACAAATCCCTTCATGGATTTTCTTCTTTCTATTTATGAAGACCGTGAAATATGACGTCGGAAGCGGGAGAACGCACGCTCGAAATTCTCGCGGAGCAATAGGCAAAAGCAACGTGTATGTTCATATAATGACACTTCCCGGATAACACGATGAATTACTTAAGTGTTCCCACAATTTTCTCCTTTCCTCAATTGCAATTCTTCAAAGAGCTCATTTTATTTTAATCCGGAAATACATTCTCTCTGCTCATTTTCCTCTCTATCACGCTCTTAGGGGAGGGGCTTCGCCTCCCAGAATATCAACAATCGCGCACTTATCCATCCTACCTATCTCTGCGGCTTGCTCGATGTTTTGCGTGTTTCGTGAATGATCGTCGTTCAACGCGAATCCCGCTTTCCACGGTGCACCGCTTACTCAAGACGCCCGCTTCGTTTGTTTACCTTTATTAATCGCTCACCGCTCAAATTATTATCGCGGCAACGAACAGATAGTTGCTGCCCTGTGCGCGGCAATATGAGCATAAAGAGCGCCGCAAGAAGATAGTTTCACGTTCGGGGCCTCTAAATTGGATCGTTATCGCCTCGGCTCATTCTCCCCGGCACCCTACGCTCCAATTTCGAAGTTTGGCGAGGAAGTAATTACCGCGCCGTAATAGAATTCCCCGTATCGAAATCGATCAAGTAGCGCACGTCGAATACCTTTGTCGTCTCCGCGAATTGGTCATTAACAGACAACTTGTTACCGCGTAATTATCGCGAATACCGCGCTAAGATATTGAAAGGAGACAGCGACGGCCGGGGGGAGCAGGGAATTAAGCGCGATTGAGAACAAAGGGGCACCTTCCATCATACTCGAGAAGCTATCGAGACCGGCCGGCCCCGCTCTCGATTCTTTTCCTTCCTCAAATTCGTCGAGTGCCTTTGCGAAAAAGGAAGAAGGGAAAAGAATAAACGCACAAAGCGAACTGAGAACGTCGAATTAATCGTCCCTTCCGCGCTCCCCCTCCCCCCCCCCCC